AGCAGGTAAAGGCGGATAGAGCAGCAACTGTCCTGGCCCCGGCGGCGGCAGCTACTGCCCCGGGTCCCAGCGACGATTGTCCCGAGTCTGCGCGGCGACTGTCCCGTGTCCCCGCAAAGAATGTCCCGGCTCCGGCAGCGGCAGCGACTGTCCCGGGTCCCGGCGGCGGGTCTGTCACTGTGTCTTTGACTCTGTTCTCGCCATTTCCTGTGTGGAGCTTTAGGCTAAAGTAGCAGCTGCCGCTAATCGTGAACCTGCTACGAGTTGAAGCAGCAGGTTGATGTGAGTGACAGGACAGTTGTCCAATCACACTACACTAAATAAACAGAGACTGTGATATCATTGATGTCACAGTAAAGTTTGTGCCCTCAGCCTGAAGTGAAATGCGCCAATTAAAATGATTTTAAAATAGTAATAATAACGGCCTGTGCTGGGGGGTGGGGCACCAATGGCCGCTAGGGGGGGGCCCTCAAATGCCCCCCCTTGCCGCCGACACCGCTATGGCCTCATGTTTGCACCATTTAAGGGAAATTCAGTGTGCACAATTGCTGTTTGAAATTGCAGTGGAGCTCTTCACTATTTTTAGACTGTATTAATATGACAGTTTAGTGGTGCAGGTACCAGTGTCTCTTCATTTTGTCAGTGCAGCCATGTATATCAGATAAACCAGATGGCATAGGAACCAAATGAGTGGTCTGATACCTCAATAAAAAACTGAATCTTAGCAATTTATCTATTGTCAGATATTATGTACTAGGACTCTTTTCTATATTACACAAAATTTACATAGGTTTGAGTAATCCTATATTATAGTGTATCTACATTTCCAAAGCTCGAAATTCTCTGTTCCACCTTGTGATGTCATGAAGCCATAGTTTTCACCTTTTACCTTTTGTTTACTTGGATGAAATTATCCAAATGAAAGTGTTTGGAGATTAAAAACTGTAGCGCTTCCTGTATTACCACACAACATTACAAGCTGAGAGAATCAGCCTAAATATGCACGGCTGGTGTGTTAAACATGTGTGAATGAAACAAAACACAACTCTGGGTATATTTATGGTGAGGAAACAACATAACATAAATCAGAAGACAGCATAATATTACATTTTGTGCAATTCCCAACAGCAGCATTGATAATACAGTATTACACTTTAAATCCTATATTATCCTAAAATAAAATACATTCTACACATTTTTGAATGTAACAGTCTTTATTTTGATAATAATTACATGACCAAAAAGAAAATACACAAATGTGAAACTTGATACCACTATATCTGTCAGCCTCAATCACACGTTTTCTGTCTCTTATCTCAAACAAGCTCAATAATTCTACCTAACCCAGTACAGTGAACTTCCCAGCTCCATTGTCCTCACTCACAGGCTTGGTACCCTCTCTCACACTGATGCGGTTGCTGTGGTGACGCTCACTCCATCTTTTGGGCAGGAGGAGGTTGACATTGTTTCATGACGGAGATGACATTGCTTATTCTCCTGTCTCCCCCTCATGCATCTCGCCCACATCCACTCGCCCACACCTCAGTGTTCCAGCACACAGTTTACCACAAACACATGCACTCACAGCACAAGTGGGATCATTTACTGAAAATATGCAGAGAGATATAGATATAACAGTAACTTAAGAAAGAATATAGTTTGGGAATCAAGTAAAGTTTTGTCAAAAGGGTACAGTGACCATTTTAGCTTGTCTGATATGTTTTATATGTCATCATCTTGTAACCCTTGCATTTTAACTTTGTCATATGTTTTGTGTCAGATGCCCTCCGCAATACCTCCTCATTAATTTATCTGAGCTGCAGGAAAAAGTATTGACTTGCTAGTAGAAAACCAAATCTCATTTATTCCTCCTCCTATTGTCCAATATTATGTTTATTATATTGATATGTGAGAATTTGGTGGTTGCAAGAACTTGATTTTCTGTGTTTTATTATTGTACAAGCACAAGTTTTCTGTGCACCTATTGGACACTAGTTATGAGTTTTCAAATGCAGTTATGGTTTGGCTTCTTGTTGTTTGAAATCACACAATTTTTACTGCACAGAAATACATAAAAAAGTCCTTTTGGATCAAATTTGAATTGTTAGTGACTTGGGAAACTACTCTTAATAAATTATGCTTATTTAAAACCATTTAACACATCACACATCACACATCACACATGCACATACAGACTGAGCAGCACTGAGCCGTACATGAACTCAACATGACAGGTGGGCAGCCTAAATCGAGACATCTGATTGGACGGCACACCACATCTGGTCACACATGAGAAGAAATAGGCCATCTATTTATTTAATACAAATTCACATATAATTACCTACACGGTCCCTTGAGGACAGGCAAAGATTCCACTGACCCTCTGTTTACTGACTTTACTCTAAGCAAAGACAAGAGGCCATAGAATAAGATTTGTTGTGTTGATAGGACAGAGAGATGTGCATTGGACTAGGCTATAAGAGGCTGCTGTTGGAGGATTAATTCTTCATAGATTAGAGCTACGGCATCTATGAAAAAGCCTGTATAGTTCTGCAGGGCACTCTGGGTGAAAGCAGTGCGGGTTAGGGTCAAAACGAAAGAGAAGTCTCCCTAACAATTATATTAGTGGTCAATTAAATTGAGCTAAAGGAAAGAATTACAAATATATACTATATATATGCAGCTTCTTGCTGAATTTCACAAATTACATTTTATAAGCCTTTCATTACACTTGTCATCAGCCTAGTAGTTGGACTTGTGTCTGTGTAGTGAGCTGCAGGGTCACAGCAGACAGAAGCTGCCAGTGACACTCTATGTGCACCGCAATTGTGTATCCTACAGGGTACTACTACTTGTTGTTCAGAGCAGAAACCTACTAGGCCTTGGATTATGAGGAATATAGACTAGTGAATTGAGAAAGGTGATTCCAAGACAATGTCCTACATAGTTGGCCCTGCTTCCATTGGGCCTATATGTTTAGATATTATTGTCATGTGACGTGGGGTTGAATAATGGTGAGGATCTGAAGAGATTACCGGCCGCTACTATAGTACCGGATTATAATCTGCGGTGCCAGGGCTGAGGTGCAGAGGTGGAGGCAGAGGCGAGCGCAGAGGAGCCGGAGACCGCTGGAGAGAGAGAGCGGCGCAGACCGACAGCTGTGGGCCGTGCGGACATTTGATTTACCGCAGATTAGGCTGGATGTGCGCCAACTAGGAGTCAGGCCGCGATGAATGTGCTCCGGTGTGCTACATGCTAACGCGGTTTAGCTCCAGCACTCGTTGCATTTCCATCGTTGGCATCAAAAAGTAGCCGAACTATTTTTATTTGCCCCCAATGTGATCTGGTTCTAGTTCTGTTTGTGTGGTTGCTTCGTTTACTTTTGGATATGGAGAAACACTGGATTACAGATCATGCCAACAGTTGAAACTCTGTGAGGAGAAAAGATTTAATGACCATGGCTACCTGTGCATGTGAGTACTGGTGTTATGTTGGCTGAGCTAAAATCTGGCAAGAGAGCACTATGGGAAAGAAGTAATCAATAACTACAATATTATTGGCTACTATATCGCCAAAAGAAAGTCATTTTAATTAAATCAATAATTAACAATATCAACTAAAGGGTATTTCAATTGTTTATTCTTTTTTTTTTTTTTTTTTTTTACCTTATGACATAAAACAGCTTCATTTTATATATAATTTAATATATGCAAATTAAGTGTACCTGCAGTTGAGTGATAGTACACCTGATAATATGGGTTATATAACAATAGTCTATGTATCTGGAATTATAATATTACAATTGTCATTACAAAAGATTTCAAAAGTAGCCCTCCTTCAAATTTCTTAATTACTCTCCTATTTACATGTAACCTGAGAGAGGCATCAACAAAACATCACTGTGGGATTGGTACAGGACACACATGACTTGACAGTTTCTATCGTCCTTGTGAGCTGAGGCTGCCTTTGCCAGGCCCGGTGCAGTGATAATGGAGATGTGCACATATTGTAAACAGCAGTCTGAGTGCTCGTTAATATTTCATTACTGGAGGCAGAAGCTGGAAAAGCATGTGGGGGAATACCAGGATGTTGGTGGAGATTCCCAAAGATGACTGGCACAGGTGGAAGTGCAGTGGAGAATATGAGCACAACTGAATTGTCCACTCAGTAAAGTACTGTATAGTATTATGCAGATATATCATTCAGGGATTACATGTTTTACAGGGTTTTAATTAAATTTAAAATTTGTATTGACTATAGTGTCATTTGGTCATTTCTAATTGTCAATAATATGCATGGGCCCTTTTAATTTAGAGATCTACGGCCAATCCTCTGTCAGTAAAAAGAATTTGGCAGAGTATTGACTTTGAAGTTTTTTGTGTTAAATGGCAATTTTTAAGTCTCTATTGAATATTTTCAGGATATTCTAATAATTGTCAGTGGGCATAATAATCAATGGGCATTATTTGGGCATTATTGTACAATACTACTTTTTGCTGACATTGTAACCTGCCTTACACTTTTGCACATTACTGTATGCATTGATTTGCTATATTTAAAGGTGCACTATGTAACTTTTCTGGTGGAGGGTATGGCACCTGCTTGTGTCCATGGAAATGTTATAGCTTTGATTAGAATGTTCCACAATATGGCATTAAACATACATCCCCATGAACACCAGTTACAGGTCAGTTCTCTGGAGACAAGACCCGACTCACAGTAAAATGCATGGTTTTTTTTTTGGTTTTTTTTTGTTTAGCAATAAAACACATGAATGAAATGAAAAAAGCTAAATAGATATGTTTACTATACTGTGGAACATTCCAGGCAAAGTAGCAACATGTCTATAAAGACAGGCAGGTAGCAGACCCCCTATCAGAAAAGTTTGATAATGCTTTAGAATGTGTGTGTAACAGGCATGCGGCTATATATTTATTATATATTATTGTACATAATTATTATTTAACAATATTTTACATGTGTGCTTTTCCTTCTGCCAGGTGATGTGGGTATGCAACCTGTGCCGTAAACAGCAGGAAATCCTCACCAAATCAGGAGAATGGTTTTCTGGGACAGGGGTGCGGCCCGGGAGCCTGGGGGCCTTGAACGACCCGACCCTGGGAGGTGAGGCACAGCGGGACAGGAAGCTGCTCCGCTCCAGGTCCCAAGCTCCGCCCATCAACGCCAACACAGGCGCTCCAGACGGGACACTGCCACCTGGTGTCAACACAGCCAAGGGATCAGACAGCATGCAAGGGTCCCGCTCTCAAAGTGAACCGCCCAGGGAAAAGTAAGTGCTTCTATTGGGGATGGTACAAGATCTCATACCACAAAATCTCGTGAGACAAAATTGCCACAAGATTGTGCACACATGAGAAAAATAATCTTGTGAAATTTTTTTTCCTCCCTGAATTTACCTTTGGTTTGGACAAAAAAGAATTAAGAGCTAGTGAGTTATATAACTTGAGAAGCTGTAGTTCCAAAAAGGAGTACTACAATGACCGCTTAAATATTACATAAAATAAATAGAAATAGTGAAGCCAAAATTGCAAAATGGATTTCACTGACTATTTATTATAAATTATGTACACATCTCATCTTGTCTCATGGACCCAATCTCGTGGTGTGTCTTGTCTCGTAAAAATCGTATCTCGTCCCACCCCCAGCTTCTATATAACCTTTGAGGTATTCAGCACAGGCAGTGTACTGTTTAAACAAATATATTATGGCATTAGCATATTTAGCAACTTTTGGTTCTTTATTGAGACAATAATTTAGGAGATGTAATTACCCTGCTGACATATTTCAGCTGCTAAATGTGATTCTGAAGAAGGCTTGGAGATAGCTGCCAACAAGGTAGTTACATCACCTAATTTGTTGTCTTTTAAAAGAACCAACAATTTTTGAATGTAAAAAACATGTAAAAAAAAAAAAAAAGGTTTTTATGTAATCCTCTTGACCTGTGTTTTTTTGGGGTAGATAAGAATGTGGCCTTATAAAAGTCAGACACACATGTTTGTGTAACACAGACAGATACAGCTTATTCATCCTACTTGTCTGCTAATTTGGGGTATTGTTTTGCAGGGCCAGACCAGTGTCCTTCCATGAACAGAACGGTAAAGGAGGGCTGGGCAGAGGCAGTGGGCGGCGGACGCCAGGGAAGCTTCAGTCCCAGTCGTCTCTGGACGAGCGTGGAGGTCCTGGAGAGCGGCGCGTGGGGGAGGGGCGGAGGCTGGAGAAGATCCACTCTCAGGAATATGAGGATGGGACAGACAGCCTGGGGCGTTTGGAGAGCCACCGCAGACGCCCCGAGGAGGAGGACCCCAGAGAACGGCAGAGGCGAGAGGAGGAGTTTCAGAACCGTTACCGCAGCGACCCCAACCTGGCCCGCTACCCGGTCAAACCACAGAAGGAGGAGCAGGAGATGCGAATGCACGCCAAGGTCTCCAAGGTGCGCCACCAGCGCAGACACAGTGATCTGGCCATTAATGAGGTGGGGCTAGGGCCCAATGATGGGAAGGACTTGTCTAGGAGGGACTCTGAGCGAAAGGCTGGTATGGATAGGACCGTAGGGATGGGAGGGGTGGGGCCACATGCAGGGGGAAGAGCAGGGTCCCAGCCCGTGGGTCCGGACTATGGGCCAAATAAAGGGCGACTGGACCCCAACACAGCACGGACACAAAGGGACAAAGGCGGGGATAGTCTGCTTAGAAAGGACTCTCAGAGCTCAGACCAGTCCGAGTCCCTGCGGCCGCCCCCTCCACGCTCCTACAAGAGCAAGCGGGACAAGAGACAGATGTCCATCAGCAGCTCAGAGGAGGAGGGAGGATCCACACCGGAGTACACCAGCTGTGAGGACGTGGACATGGAGAGCGTCAGCGAGAAAGGTCTGTCACATCACAGGGTCACATGTTTCTCAGGGCTTGACTTCTTAACAATCTGCATTGGATTTGCAAAAGAAGTTATACACATGATTTGATTACCCTCCTATTGAATTCTTGATTTTCTCATGTGCCTGACCATGAGCAGCACTGACGAGTGCAGAGCATGTCATGTACATCTGTGCCACTCTCAGGACAGTTCTCATTTATTTGGAGAGTCCCGGTGATTTAGGCCAGCAGATTTGTAGAATTAGGTCAGTGGCTCGTGACTACGTAACACTTTACAAACAGCTAACTGCATCACCACTCAGCACGGGAAAACTAAGCTAGGATGACTGCACGGGCATTCTGTAGATCCAGTACAATCATGAAGTTCAGACGGAATTCAATAACTTCTATTTTTGTAGTCCCAATATGCTAATTCTACAGTTTATGTTGTCTTTGAAAATACATTTTTATTGTTTTTTTCTTCTGTTCTGTAACATATATAGTGATGGTTTGGATTAAGATTGTTCACTGTGCTACAGAACACTACTTGAAACCCCAGCACACATAATGAATGAAACCTGTTGCATTTACCTAACTATTTGGAATTTCATGCAAAGAATTAGTTGTTCCTTCATTATTGGACTCTATTGTCTGGATACTAGTATTATCTACCAGGTAAGTGATGGTAGGAACAAAGACAAGAAAACAACTTCTTTGAAAAGGATTGCAGTTTATATATGTCATTTCTTCACACAGGTCAGTTGATACAATACACCATAAGGACTAATTTAGTTGTAGACTTGATGAAATCCCAGATGACTGCATTGGTACAGTTCGTCACATACTCGGGGGATTATACCGTAGTGTTTGTGTTTTGATGTAGCTCAGTTAAGGCTCCAGTCTCCTGTAATATCTCCCAGCGTGTTCATCCTCCCAAACAGAAAGCCCTAAATCAGCAGTTAAAGTGTGGACTCAGCACTTACCCTGTGGAGCGGCCTCTATGGGCTTTTTCATGTTAGATTAGAGGAACTAGCTATGTCCACGAAGATACTGTGTTTTCTCTATCATCACATCATTCCTAATGGCCCACCTGTCGGCATGCTCCCAGGGGATTTCTGCTAAATAATGAATGAACTATGAACAACTGTACAACATATTATTAATGTAGGGTTGTCAGAAATATATTGACAGTGAGTATGTGGAAATTTGTATACATGTTGGATTGATTCAGTAATCCAATCCAAAATCTCTAAGTGAGGTTTTAAAAAATATAAAATTACAATGATACAATATTTAACCTCAAAACTAAACATTACCATTACCTTTCTTTCCTGCAGGTGACTGGGACTGTCATCCACTAGATCCTACAGTATGGCATGTAAGTTAGTATTTTATGTATACCCTTTTTTTGCTTATACACACACATACATTCAATTCATGCACTACATTCATCCATTCTGTTTCATAATATGGGATTTGATGTCATAATTTCAGATTTCAACAAAATTTTACAAAAAAAAAAAAAAAAAAAAAAAGAATTATAACCTCTTTCCTTTGTTTCTGAGCAGCACCCAGTCTCGTGGCAGCCATCTAAAGAGGGTGACCACTTGATCGGACGCATCACGTTAAGTAAGAGGTCAGCCATGCCCCGAGAGGCAGGCTCCCTTCTCGGACTAAAGGTAGGAAAACTGTTTAGTGTTACCTAAAAAGATGTTAGCTGTAAAATTGTACGTACATACACAATACAATAATAGCATAGATAAACACTATAGTCGTCTGATTAGTAGCTGAAATGAATCATGTTCATTATTCAACCCTCTACTGCTCAAATATTATCGTGGCACAAAGTTCCCTGTAATGTGCAAATAAAAAGTACACACAATAAAAATATTAAGCCCAAAAAAACTATTGTTCATCTGTAATGTATTGAAGTTGATATTGTTGTTATACCAATTTACCTAACAGTGTATTGTAATGGAAATTCTGTACATTTGTGTTTGTTTGTGTGCAGGTGGTTGGAGGTAAAATGACAGAGACAGGGAGACTAGGGGCCTTTATCACCAAAGTGAAAAAAGGAAGTCTCGCAGATGTCGTTGGGCACCTTCGACCAGGTTTGTATCCATGAGTATCCAATCCAATTAAATACATTTCTATAGCACATTTTACAGACAAAGACAAAATGCTGAACATAATGAAATAAAATCAAACTACACAGTAGACAAAACCAGAAAATATAATAATAACAATAAACAGAATAAACACAAAAGTGTAAAAAATACATATTTAAATCTAAATATTAATCTAAAATGACTTGAATGTAAAATATATATGTAATTTTCATGTAACTCTTTTGGTTTTATTTGCAGGTGACGAGGTGCTCCAGTGGAATGGGAAATCGTTGCCCGGAGCAACCAAGAAAGAAGTTTACAACATCATCCTGGAATCCAAGGCCGAACCACAAGTGGAGATAGTCGTATCAAGACCTATAGGGTAAGATAAACAGTTAACATGCTACAGCTATTAAGTATATCTTTTCATCTAACTGTTATTTCTGTTATTTTTTTCATTCAATTAAAAGATCAATCAACCGTATTATGTCCAAAAACGTCTTAAGAAAAGTATATAGAATCTCTCAGTAAGTAGTACTGGTTTGATTTGTGGAGTGCTTTTCCCAATATTGTTCCTATTCAAATTGCTCTATAGATCAACCAACTGTCTTTGCCTGCCCTGCTCCCAATACTGTACAAGTGTTTTAATCGTATTTATTGAACCTATTTTCCTGATTGTAAAGCTGTTGCCCTGTACCTGTCCTCAGCTTTTTCCCAAAATTAAATTGCTTATTCAAAATACTTTCAAAGAAAAAATAAAATAAAATTAATATTAATTAATTTATTGTTTTACAGGGATATCCCTAGAATCCCAGAGTCATCGCACCCACCTCTAGAATCTAGTAAGTATATGTCAGTATAAAACTACCTTAATGGATGCATTGAGTTACTATCCTATATAAGCCTATGAACCTTTAAATGTGGCTTCTTTTTAGTGGTATGTGAATATATGTTTATATCTCAGTTAAAGGGTTTCTGAAAAAAATTAAGACTTGCCATAGTAGCTAACAACACAGAATAAAATATATATATATTATATTATATTTTGAATGATGAACTGTCCTCTAAACGGCAACATATAACAGGAAACTGAAACCTACGAACAGTCACAGTAACTGTGTTTGTGCTAAATAAATCAATAAATTAATTAAATTGTTTTTTTTCTTAGCTGGCTCAAGTTCTTTTGAGTCCCCAAAGATGGATCGTCCTTCGATTTCAGTTATGTCCCCCACCAGTCCTGGGACTCTGCGAGACCTGCCTCTAGTACTGCCCGGACAACTTTCAGTAAGGACATTTAAAAGACAATAACACTTTGATTTTATTTTTAATAAAAATTTTCTTGACTTGCTCCTCCTTATGTGCAGGTAAAGTTGTGGTATGACAAAGTAGGCCATCAGTTGATAGTCAATGTCCTTCAAGCCATAGACCTGCCTCCTCGACCTGATGGGCGGCCAAGAAACCCCTATGTCAAAATGTACTTCCTTCCTGATAGAAGGTAAGACACATAATGTAAATATCTTTTTTTATAGGTGCATGACAGGAGTGTCCGCCACCTGCTTGTCATGTTATTCTTTTTCCTGAAATTGGTGTTATTATTGCTCAAAAATACATTGAAGTTACATAGTGCACCTGTAGGTCACCTTTAAGTCACAAGACTGATACCCCCCCCCAAAAAAAAAGTTAGAGCACCTTTATATTAACTTTTAAGCTTTGACTACTGACAATGGAAAGAAGATATTGTTTATGAGGCCTCTAGAATATAATCTTCTTGTGCGTTTGTTTTAGTGACAAAAGTAAAAGACGAACTAAAACAGTGAAGAAAAGCGCTGAGCCGAAGTGGAACCAGACTTTTATTTACTCCCACGTGCACAGACGGGACTTCAGAGAGCGCATGTTAGAGATCACCGTGTGGGACCAGCCACGAGTGCAGGAGGAGGAGAGCGAGTTCCTGGGAGAGGTGAATTTATTTTCTATTTCATTTGCATATTTATTTAGGGACAGTGAAAACCAACCAAGCAGTCAAATCAGGGAACGACAACAGTGATGAGAACAATATAACTTTATGTGCTCTGAAAATCTGTCTGTTCTTTACCGTAGACTATCACTGTCTAAATTGAAAATGAGTTGTGTGCATCAATTAGATTTAAAACCTATACATTTTCCAAAACTCACTGGGTGTTACCTCCATACTAATACATACAATACAATACAGTACACTCAATATATTACAGATTGTAGAATTTGATGATATCATACTCCTAGCTAGAGGGAGAGACAGAGTTTTTACTATTGTTTACATTGTATTTGAAATATCCAAAATTTAAATTCACAAATGTTGAACCTGATGATTTGAATTAATGACTCTATCTAAGAAGTCACTGTATTACAACAAAAACATTTTAACAATATTCATTTTAGCTGCCCCATCTGTATTTAATGATATTGTTCTATAGAATGTTAAGATGTCATCTGAAACCCAGCAATGCTATATATACTATAATCAATGTTACTAAGGGAAAGCCTCTATACTTGACAACGATTTCAACACCACAATGGTAATTTAAGGAGAGTATAAAAAACAACATATACTTTTAAACACAAATGGTCCTGATATAGATCCAGATCTTTAACTATTGAGGAAAGATCCAGTTTTTTTCTGTACGTTCAAATGATTTCCATGGACCTCTCCTCAGATCCTGATTGAGTTGGAGACTGCTCTGTTGGACGACACTCCGCACTGGTACAAACTGCAGACCCATGACGCATCCTCCATCCCTCTGCCTCAGCCCTCTCCTTATCTCCCACGGCGACACGTCCACGGAGACAGTCCCAGCAAGAAACTACAGAGTAAGGGACCGTATATGTGTGTTTGTGTGACTTTAGTTTAAAATTATTTTCCTTGTGGTACTTCAATTAGATTTAAAACCATGCATCCTACTGTGTAACAACCAATTATGACATTTCATCTTACCTTAGTCTTAGAAAAGTCTTTACTTAAAAGTACTATAACTGTCTCCATAGTCATATTGCTTTGCCTGGAATGTTGAGCGGTATTCCAATGAGTTTAGCAATCTTGCATTTATTTGATTACAGGTATTTTTATTGATACACAAAGACAAAGAAACAAACAAAAATACACTTAATACTTAAAAACATGAATTCTTTCTCTCGACAGATCTGATCTGTAATTTGGTTTTGTGGTGTCATGTGCTTGTCTACATGGAGCTACATACATTTAATGCCATGATACAGTGGAACATTCCAGGCAAAGCAATAAGATCTCAATAAGATCATTAAGATCCAGAAAAGTTGCATAGTGCATCTTTAAATATTAATATGATTTTTTTAAGTTCAATCATAAAGTTCTGTTAAAGTCTTCTGTAGTTTCAGGTTTATCCATAGTTTTAAAGTGACAATAGTAAGTTTTTTCGGTTTGACCAAGTTAAAGTATCACATAATGCATACCAATTATACCAACTGCTGTAATGCAGATGCTTTTATTCCTGTACAGCCAGGGTTGAGTCCTGTACTGAACTGTCTTCTTGTCTCAGCTCTTCTCCCTGTCTTCCCTGTCTTATGTGTGTGTCGTGTACAGGGTCCCATCGCATCATTGACACAGAGTTTGATGATGGTTTGGTAGTGCCTAAAGGTGGGTGGGGGGCATGGCCAGTGAACACTCGCTGTAGTAGCCTGAAGGCGTCCAGCACTGGGCGAGGATTCAAAACATTTCAACAGCAATGTGTTTGGACAGTGGCTCTCAAACTGCTTATGGTGGGGCTTATGGATTTGACTTCAGTCCTGGCTGAAAGGTCTTTTTGCTAGATTTCACAGTGGAGGTTCAATCTCAGATAAGAAATTCCATATTTACAGACCTGTTTAGTCCAGGTTTAGATTGTAAGTGGGCTTGCCTCTCCACAATTCTGACCTATAAATTGGTCTGGTGGTGTCACCTTTTGTCTCTATGGAGATAGATAAGTTAAATGCTTTACTGTGGAACATTCTAGACAGCATAATCACATCTCCTTGGAAACAAGCAGGTGACCAGCCCTCTTCCAGAAAAGTTAGCTATAGTATAGTATATAGATTTAGTATAATATAGGTTAGGCCTGTCATGATAAATACTATATTGACTCATTACTCAATATATGAAAGCTCGGATACATTTTGGGGCTCTGATGTTTGCCATTTTTATGTAACAAAGTAAGATTTGAGCTGTAAAGTGTAGAATAAATAACCTAATTATTAGTTCACTCTGCTATTTATTTGTTGCAGCTCAGGCCTTTTAATGATACTGTATATTTAAAAATTGGTATGGGTATGGGATTGAGTAATGGGATTACCTTACCTTGTGTCTGTGGCATAAACTAGTTTCAGTTGCTTAACACTATTTCTATGTTGCAGTATATTATGTGTCTTTTTTTTTTATTTTTATGACAGGCCTAGTATGGGAGCAAGTTTTTTGTACATTTACTTTGTTCATTTTCATCCCCAGTCTGATGCACTGCCATTGTATGGGTTAAATCCTAGCTAAGCCCTTGTTCTATTCTTCTTTCATTTCCATTGTGGTTCTTGAAAAGTTTAAGAGTCACTGTTTCAGAACATGCTGCATATAAAATAATACAATTAAAGCTTGCTGAATCGGCAAAAGGCATACACCACGGACCGGTGTAATTCATCACTGTGCTACTGAACTGCAGATGTGAAAATGTGATTTGGTGAAAAACATTCTGCAGTTTCTCCTCTTCTGCTGGGCCTCCGTAACACCCGAGCACCCGAGCATGTTAGAGCTGTAGTCACTCACCCCCATTCACACAGCCACATCTTTGCATGCTACAGTGGACACGATATTAGCTTCGGTAGTCATGTTAATTTGAAACAGTTTTTTTTTTTTTTTATTTCACTTTATGGAACAAGTTTATTAAAATTCAGAGTTTTACCATTGTAAGTCATTATGGGCGATATAAATATGTTTGTGTTACTCTTATATAGGAGTAAAATAAACATAAATAAAATAAATATAGATTGGTCATGGGTTTCAGCTTCCTGTTTTTCTGTAACATTTTGAGGATTTTTGACTTCAAAGATAGAACATTATGTTTGGAATTCTTATGGCAATGATGTTAATATTTCATTATTCATAAACTCATGGCTATATAGTCAAAAACCTCAAAAGATAACAAATTGGAAGCATACCTCCACATACAACATTATTTTACTTATTCTGTTTCTTTATATGGCAATTTGTAACTGTAGATTTTGATCTATCGCCCTGGCCTCATAAGAATATGATAAATTTCTCACAAGATTCAAATTAAATACTTTATTTAATTTGTCACATCTATTATTTTCGATCTTCTTTGCAGAAACAGTTGCTCTACCTGTAGCTTACAGTGTGGTACTAGCTTACCTTTAGCTAGTTCCTTTGTAAAACATCCTGGTGATGTTCTACACTTTCTGTAAGCTAAATACATCTGTAGCAAGTAGTACTGTGCGTACAACTTTAATTTACATTTTACAAGCTGACAGAGGTGGGTAGTACTCAGTTACAGTTACAGTACATTTGATTTCAAATATGATTTAGTCTTTTTTTATTTTTTTCCTTTCAATTACTTATAAATCCCTAAATACTCCTGGATTTGTTTTAGTCATACTGGAGTATTTTCTTGAACCACTGAAATTATACTCTAGTAATAGTAGTCTTATTTGAGTACAATATTTGGTTACTCTACCCACCTCTGCAAACTGAGCACTAAAGCCTGGTTTTAAACTTTTGCTTCTGTGTATCTGATAATATTTTTGTTAATTTGCTTTTGTATGGGTGGTACAGGTCCTGAGCGTAACTCCAGAGACAGGGAAAGGGGCAGTACTTTGGCCGTCCCGGAGCAGCAGAGAGCGGTCCAGCACAGGTCCAGGTCTGTGTCCCCTCACCGAGAGGACTCCTGCCGGGCCCGCTCACGCCCTGCCTATGTGCCCATGCAAAGGTAAAGGACTGTTCTTGGATTGCAGCTTCCTGGGTTAGGCAACATTTCTGAGAACTTTTCCTCATTCAGAAGATAATATTTTGTTTTGAATTGTGAATCATTTTGACAATAATATTTATAGAAACTTATGCTGGATTCATGTGATCCTTGGGAACTCAGGTTCTGATTGTTTCAGTAGGAAAAAAAAAGTCAGGATTTTGATGTCACTATCAACAAAATCATTCAGTCTGAAGAGTGAAAATGAACTAACCAATAAGATGCTATTAGCCTTCAAAAAACTAAATGTGATGTGTTTACTTTAGCTAGTCAACGTTACATTGGTAATTAATTAATCTGGTATTTGTTTTTGTGCTGATCTGTTGCACTCTTATGATATGGATGGATAACTGACAGTTCACCCCTAATTGTAATAAGTTTTATGTGTGCCCAAGTTCCCAAGTTGTTTTTCTGATTTTTTTTTTTTTTTAATATCTATTTATATTTTACCTATACATTTGTGGAGTCACATAAGAACAGGGGATTGAGTCTTATAATCTAAAAACATTGAGGTTTGAATCTCACTTGGCCTAGTGCATACTGATTTCGTAAGACATTTTCAACCACATTGAGAGATCAAATGAATGCACGTTTGTATGTATTATTAGATTGAATATAGTAATTTTGGAGTAATTTACATGATAAACAATCTAGCTGCAGTTACTATTGCATTTTGTGCTTTATTGACTTTCTGCACACTGTAAGCATCACTAGAGCAGTATGTGAAATCTAATTGGTGGTGTTTATTATAGTAAATCAGTTAATCCATTTATGGCTAAATCATTACAAAGTGAATTAGGGTTATAGCCTGTTTAGTAATAGTGCTAATGACTTCCCTGACAGATGGACCATACCAAATGTGTAAAGCAGCATTGATCTTATATGTCATAATAACTAATGCATGGATGTGAAATTGCAGGGTGAGGATAGGACAAAGAGTGGACCGTGAGGACACAGATGCAGTTTTAAACTAATCTTGTCTAATATTGTAATTTTTAGAAGTGGAATTAAATTATGTAATAGCAGCAACACTGGGTTATAGCTGAAAGACAATGACGCTGTAAACAAGCCAGAACTAGAAGTAGAAATGCTGAAGATTTTAGGTTCTCTTTGTTAAAAGAGATGTGCCAATTTGGTCATGTAATAAAGTAAAATGTGTTCTGCCCCAGTACATATATAATGTAAATGCAGCTCTTAAGGTCAAAATGGGATCACTGTGTACAGTCTGCATCTTATTATAAAGAATGTATATATTTAAATTTATTATTAAAGATTTTTTCATCCATGAGCCATGAAGTAAGGCTGAATCTCTGTTAGCATGCTAGTGATGTGCTACCATTACTAGCATTACTGTGATTTCAAAGCACCGCTCTGAATTGTAGTGAATAATTAGGATGCTAGGAATGTCTTCGGTAAGTGGGGAACAACTTCAAACAGTTTAATAATATGAACTAATGGAAATGATAACTAACAAATGAATTCTAACTAAATAAATCAATTTTTAAGAAACAATGGTAACACATTGACATATTGGCAGTATCTTTGAGAACACAGAATGTAACATCACACCTCACATAGAAGTAAAATGTAATTTTCCTTGTTTAATCAGGAGCCTAGATGAGATCCACCAGAATCGCCACCCCTCTCACTCTCCGTCCCGCTACCACGAGCCCCATCTGGAGCACCAGCGGTCAGGCGACTCAGACTACGAGTATTCTGAGGACAGGTAACAAACTGAAGCCTGAAGAGTTAATTTATAATATAGGATTGAAATACAAAAGTGCATATGCTTGGTTAGACTACACAACTAAAAGGCAATGAAAGTCATTATAGGTAACATTTGGCTAAAGATCTTACCACACTTTCCTTTGTTTGAGTATTTTGGTGAAGTTTATCATTTTACTTTCTGGTCGCACATTGAGTAGCCTACAGATGTGGGCTGCAACTGTGAAATATGTAGAGGTAATACTGAACCATACTGTAAACAAACTTGTCTAACTTACGCAATATAGATTTGAACAATAAAAAATACTTGGCAAAATCATTATTTTGTAAAATAAATGTTTAAAATGTCAGAAAACTCGATTCCTGTCACATAAATTGTATCTTCATTTTAGTTGGAATTTTGTGTATTGATGACATGGCTAAAATTCAACTCTACTTCCTGTATTTTTCAATGTTTTTTTTTTTTATTCTTATTTTTTTTTTGCAAACCCTGCAATATTTCGAAAAACATGAAAACCTGTCATATGCACTTTAAAAATAGGCTTGGTCTTGATTTTAAGTTATTTATCGAATATAATTACTATCTTCTACTAATATTACTAACATTTGTGAGCATAGTACAGTAATCTCAAAGTTATGATTTCCTGGTTTGTCATTCATAAAATCATGTGGGTCTAAGTTGCCATCCTCTTTTTATTTGTGTTGTTTTTCATCGTTCACCCATCGTCATGGCAACAGTGAGGTCCTGGAGATGCACAGGTCAATCCGGGGCGGGAGTGCCGAATGCCTGCACACAAACAGGTAAATAAAACCAGAAAGAGACCAGATCAGATTTGTTTTCAGTCACATTTTTTGTACCCATTTCACATTCCCAAAAGCAATAATTTCACTTAACTACTATAATTAATATCAATTGTCGCTGTGATGATCTTGCTCTTTTGACAAAGGCTGTCCAATTATGCATGTGTCTAGAGTGTGTTCATTCATTCATTATTTTTTTATTTTGTTATTTGTTGCTGTAATTCACCTGTAATCTTTTGTAAATATTGCCACCCCCTCAATAACAATGTGGCCAAAGAATAAATAAGGCTCCTGTTAAAGTTGCGGTAGAAGGTTGACCACCTGCTTGTCTCCATGGAGATGTTATTGCTTTTTATAGAATGTTTCACAGTGTGGCATTAATCTTATTTTCATAAAGACAAGCAGGTGGCATCACAAGGCCAAGTTACTGGTCAGATTAGTAAACTTGCTGTCAAAACTGCAGTGAAATGTTTAACAATAGAAGAGCCTGTAATTGAATAAATGCAAGATAGATACGTCTAATGCCATACTGTGGAACATTCCAGTAAAAGCAATACTATTTTGATGGAGACAAAAAGGTGGCAGACCTTCCATCTGAAAAGTTACACAGTGCACCTATAGGCCTATAATTTAAAATGCCTATACAGAGCTTTGTACAAGGTTTACAGCTTTGTCAAATATTTTTCATGTTGACAGCCATGTCTCCTTCACTTTGTCCCAGGGCTGTTGTGGTTACTGTGGTACCAGTAAATGTAAAGAAATAAGTACTGCTGAAAAAATTCCTGCCCACAAACAGATATAGCGTTAGTAGTACCCTCATTGTTATTGAGAGGGTACCACAAATAAACAACATTAGAAGGACAGAATGCCTAATATCACAAATATTAAAGTATGTATAACCTAAGGAGTATAAGGAGGCAGCAGACTGCACAAACGCCAAATGCTGTATTGTAGATTTGTATTTCTTATTTCTTTTTTGTAAATTGTCTTTTCATGGAGCTGTGTCTTTCCCACTTTTCCTCCTCTTTTTGTTTTGCATGCTTGATCTGCCCTCAGGGGCTTAGCTAGGCACAACAACACACTCCCTCCTAAAATGCCCCTCTTAGTAAATGGTGTCCATAAAGACATTTACAGGTAAGTGCATGGCGCAGAAGACACTTCTGCCCCATAACTTACCCCTGTCCTGCTCACTGTTGTGTTCGATCAGTGTTGTTCTTTGAAAACTCAGTATTCAGAATCTGTATGCTGAGAACTGTGCTGGTGGTCGCTGTGTTCAAAGTGACTGTTAAGTTGCGTTTTTATGAAATTGCTTTGTCTATGTAAAAATGTATTACTTTTTCCTCTTTTCTCCAAAAAATGTTCTGTGCTGCTATTATACACAATACATATTAGTACTATATATATATATATATATATGTATGTGTGTATGTGTGTATGTGTATATATATATATATATATATATATATATATATATATATATATATATATATATATATATATATATATATATATATATATATATATATGTCAACTATGTTTACACATCACTACTATATTATATATATATATATATATATATATACTTTATAAATGTGCACAATATAACTTTTTCACCTGCTGTTCCTCGTGGAGATGTGTAATGTTCCACAGTATGACCTTAAACATATCACACTTACGTTTAAGTAATTATGGGTATTTTATTTCTAAAAGAATACCTTGGGAAAAATTTATTCCCTCTTCAAAATATCTTCATGAAGAGAGATGAGATTAATGCCATACTGAGGATCATTCCAAGCAATGGTATCAAATCTCCATGGAGACAAGTAGGTGACAGACCCTTCACCAGAACATATAGTTACAAAGTGCACCTTTAAAGCGTTAGCTTTTTTAAATATTGCTTTGTTATCTATTACTTTGACAATTTTTAAAATCTATTTTTAAACTACTACTGCTACTGCTACTACTACTACTACCACTACTACTACTACTACTACTACTACTACTACTAAACTGAACTAATATTAATATTAAAATATTATTAGATACATAATTATAATCATTTATAAGGGTTCACTCATGTAACTTAGTGGTATTACTGTAAAAAATTCTAGACAAACTTTAGTTTATACTTTTAAGTAATAGCATGTGATGCAGCAGTTGGAGAGTATGGCCTGTAGTGGACCTGTTAATCGCAGGTTGGCCCTATGCTATATTATTCCCACTACTTCAGTGTTCAAGGGTCCATTAGTATAACATTACAATATACAATTTTATTATAGTCAATAATGCACCATAGAGATACATATATGTAATTGTCATTAATGCATTATGTACAAACAATGCATGCAAAATGGTAAATCAAAGGTTTCCTTTCCACGTGCCAGCTTGGCATTAGTACTGTAGATGTTACATAATCAGCATTACATGTAATCTCCACATAAGAGTGTGTTTGACTCTAGCAGTGAAAGATACAGCGCTCATGTCTATAAGCTTACATAATGAAACTGTCCTCAGAGGTCATATCCATTTGCTATTCCAGTTATTTTTGCACAATCTATGTAAGGGAATTACTTTTTATTTTATTTTATGTTATATATAAATGCATGTCTATGTATGGCTTTCAATTGCCTTTTCAGATTTCATTAAATTAACTACAAATAAAAAGATGATCCTTTCTGTATAGTAGTAAAAGTGATTTGAATTAAAAATATATTTCTTGTTTTGAGTAGCTTTAACAAGATTTATTTAGTTTGTCAGACTTTAACAAAAGTTTTTACCCTTGATGCTCTTTTTAATCCATATAGAACTTGCTGAATTTACTCAAACACATATTTTACATTGAAGTAATTTGTGTTGCATGTTTTGTTTGATTTCTGTTTTCTTTGCATGCTGCTGTTTTCTGTTGTGGTGGGGCTTTCTTCTTTAGCTCCACCCTCCCTGCATGTTCAAAGAGCCAGTCGACACAGAAACAGGAAGTGGGTGTAGCTGTTCCCCGTAGCATTCTCACACAGCGAGTGCTCAGGTTCACAGATGAGGTCACTGTTAGGTAAGAACGTGTTTAGCATTAGCATCACATTACCCTACCTCCCTCTATGGTTTTAGATAGCAAAACAAATGATTACGGATAATTTTTTTTCATTAGACGTGGTTATTTATTGAATTGGCTGGCAAAGTTAGATTATGTAACCTTTCTGATGAGAACAATAGGAATTATTAATTGCAACATTAAATCACCTGTGACATAGTGTTGAACATTGCAGCCGAAGCAAGCGGCCCCTTTCCAAAAACTTGCACCGACAACTTTGAATTAATAAAAAGACTGGATGCTTACTGATAAAGCAGAAGCATTTGGAGAGACCTAATAGCAGCTCTGTCAATGGTGACAACTCTGGCCTGGGTAAAGTGAATTTGGGTAGGCTAAATAGTGCAGTATATACAGTGTTGGGAAGTGATTGAATACATGTACCAAGGACACATATTCTGAATATTAATTTTGAGCTACTTTGAATCAGTTACTTTTCTAAATTCAAAGGAATACAAGGCAGTATACCTGATCACTCCATTTAAGCTTCAAACTACACAGAATCTGTAAGAAAAACAATAACAACAACAAACATTGCGCTTGTGGTGATTCATCTATGATTTTTTTCTTCTCTGATTCTCTGTGATAAATAAATGCAGAGCAAACTGAATCAAACATCAACCTGTTTTCAATTTTATTTTGCATCTTTACACTGTAATTTAAATCCAACTTAACTTGAAAGTATTCTAAGTATTCAGAATACAGCACTCTGATTCGTCCATGTATCAGAATAAATTACAAAATACATTTAGTATTCTGTAACTAAATACATTCTATCTAGTATTCTTCCTAGTATACAACGTTACTAACACTTATAGCCCCCCTTATAGCTATTATGTTCAGAACACAAAAGGCCTAACTATCCAAATCAGAATCCCTTATTGGATTATCCAGGTAGCTGTAATTCTTCTTTGGCTGTAACAACAACAGTAAACATTTCAAAATCCCAAAATGTATTATTAGTAGACCATCAAGTTGTGAAACATTTTATTTAAACCATGTATTCACCCCTGTACTGTACCACTATTTTGAATTTCCTCTCTGTCTTTATACCCATGATGCCTCAGCTCTGCAGCACTAAGCTAACCCAACCCTCCCTTAAGCCCTGCGCCTCCTGCTCTCCTGTTAGCTCTATATGCAGTGTCATGCAATGGCACCGATCCAGCCATCTGTGCAAACCTCAGTTTTCAATGCCACAAAGCTCTAGCATGCACCATACAAACATACAGCAAAGATCATATGGATTTACTTTTATATATCTGCTGATTTAGATTGGGGTGTTATCAAGGTTGGTAAGAAAATCTATACTGAATTAACTGTACATTAGAACAGTATTGACACACACAAAAAAAAGGAATAATTCATCAAAAATCATTCAGTCATTCAGTTAATCAAAACCATGCATGCTTTGTTTCTGTGCCGCCTAGAAAAGGCAGGGTAGGGCAGCTGATATAAAACCTAAATAATACTCAAATTGGATGGAAAGCAATAATTTGTCTTTCCTTGAAAAGGCACTGTCTGGCAAAATCAAATTGAAAAGTCTTATAATATACTGAATAAACATTCAAGCATATATCTAAATGTCACCCATGAAGCCACTTACTCTTTTAAATCATCACCTCTTGATTTACACATCATTGTTTTTGTTCCTATTGGTCATTTCATATTGTCCTAAATTGGTTTTGTCAATCATCTTGTCTCCATTCATTGTTTTCTCTCTCTACTGCCCCTTGTGGCTGTGTAGCGACCTGCAGCCATCGCTGGACAGAGTGAGAAGTGCCAGCACCACCTGTTTGAGGCCAGACAACCACTATGACAGAGACAGGTACAGACAACATAGAGAAATATAAACACTCTTTATATAATTTTATGATATTCTTCTTACTTGGTAATGACCAGGGTTACTTTCACTATTTTGCATGAATGTAATTTTTGTAATTTGTGGTATGCATGTTGTGGCGTTGTTTGTTTCACTCATTAAATATTATTATAAAGACATTTTTTCACATGTGTCATCTACTATTGTTAACATCATAGTCGTAGACCATAGTGCCCCCTTGTTTTCTGTTGCCAATTCAGACTTCTTAAAGGTCATATGTTGCGCAAAATTGACTCTTGTGAGTTTTAAGTCATGTTAGAATGTTGTTACCTCATCAAAAACATATAATCTTTTATTACTAGTTTTGGTGTGTCTACATCTCCAAAGCTCAAAATCCTCTGTTCCACCTTATGATGTCAAGAAGGCTGAAATGATCCAAAGGATTTTAGGGAAGGTGTATGGAGTTTGAAAACACAGTGGAGCACTTTCTGTATGGCATCACAAAGTGGAACAGGGTTTGTGTGTTAAACATGTGTGAATGAAACAATGCACAACTCTGAGTATGTTCTTGATGAGGAAACAACATAAATCAGAAAACAGCGTAATACAGGCCCTTTAAAGATGCACTATGTCTTCTGGCAGAGGGTCTGCCATCTGATTTATATCCATAATGATATTGCTTTACCTGCTATGTCACTCAGTATAGCATTAAACTTTACCATGGAGATAAGCACAGACCCAAGTTACAGATCAGATCTGTGAAGAATCCGGGTTTTTCAAGATACTATTTTTTATCACTAGTAATAAATGCTTGGAAAGAAGTTAAATGCCATAATGTGGAACAGGCAAAGCAATATGTCTTCTTAAGGACAAGAAACCCTCCACCAGAAAAATTACACATTGTATCTTTAAAAATGTGCCTATAAAGCCTATTTGTTTTTGTTTGTACCTATTAAATAAAATAGCCTGTACGTGTATTGCTCCCAAAGCATCACTAATGTAGATTCTATTGGGAACTACTTTCACTGTCCCGTGACTCACTGTACCACCCAACCCCACCCCCTCCACCTCCACCCATTCCTCCCTCCAGGTTCTCCAAGTCTTTGCCCCGCAAGGTCCCCCCCCACCCCAGGATCTTAGTAGAACATGTGAACCCTGAAGAAGACAGGTACCAGGCCACACCCCTTCTGTTGACTCCACCCCCTTTCAAAAAGCTGCACTTTCCCACATTCCTGCTTCTTCACTTGTTCTTTATGTGTTCCTCTTCAGCTTAGAGCGCCCCCTGCACTGCAATAAGTCTACATGGGGAAAAATGAATTGACTTCAGATTATATATTTTGATTTTAGTACATTTGAAAGAGATTTTTTTTTTTTTATTTATAATTAATCTTGAAATTGAAAATGACTTATTATATTTCACAATTCTTTAAAATGCTGATAATTTAGCTTCAGATTAAAAAAAAAACAAAAAAAAAACAATATTTAAATTAAAATAATCATCAATAGCTTGGACAAAGTTAATAATGTAGACTTGGTTTAGTCCTGGTCTGATTAAATCCTGGTTAGTCCAGGTTTAGTTCTGGGTTCAGTCTGACCTTTGAGTATATGGGTTTTAAATTAATTAAAAATAAATTAAATTTTAATTATATGATGATCTGTTAGTTACAATGTAGTGAACTGCAAGCTCTCACATGCCCTGATGCAGTGTTTTGTTTCAGCAACATACTAAAAAGGCAGAGGGAACTACATCAACCATAATTCATTGCAGGAATAATCTGAATTCTAGTTATTTTTACTGATATAGATTTCATTTTTCAGTATGGAGACAGTGATATGGCCTGTTTTCCTCAAATATTTGTGTTCTAAGGCGCTGTAATCCCTTTATTCTCCTGCACCTGGTCCTGTCACTGCGCACCTGCTGCTCAGCTCAGTGTCTTTACTCTAGCATTGTTACTGGCAAATCAAACAAACAATCAAATCTGCTCTAACTGCATTGTATTATATCCATGCCATCCTTTATGTCTGTACACTGCAAAAAAAATGTTTACATGAGTTAAAATGACTTTTGAGTCTTCAGTTGAGTGGGTATATATTTTCCTTTTATACTGTGATTATTTAAATATTCCTAATTTTATTCCGATGATCATCCTACTTTTTGTAATGTATATCTTATACTATTTTAAATAATGTATATTGTCCAAATGAGTAAAATATGTGTCCTTAAATATTGAGAACTATCTTATAGGCAAGTATTATCTCAATTTTATGAATTTATTTATTTTTGCAGTGTGCAGAATTATTTGTTGTTACATCATTCATTTTTATCATTCCATCTTTTTGCCACAACAACAGACAGTGTAACAATTCACCCAGTCCCAACTGTGCGAATCCAAAAGGCAGTCGAAAGAGCCTAGAAGGGGACAGGTAAGCCAAAGTCATTCTCACTGCAAAAACTACATGCCTACATGTCTAAAACAACTTCAATTAATTCATATTTTATTCTATTATCATAATTTTATGGACTAAATATTTTCTAAAGTTCCAATTCATTTGTTTCAACTTCCTGTTTATACGTGCCAATTTGAGCACTTTGCACCATACAAAAGAAGAATTGTTGTAGCAACTTCTAATTTTTTATTTTTCTAAAACAAAATGTTCTTCTGCTTTCAAGTGAGATGTCAGTGAAGTTGCAATTTTCTCACTCAAGTGACATATTTTCTGAAAATAGAAAAAGAAACAAAAACGAAACTAATGAAACCAAACCAATAAATGAAAAAAAGTTATCAAAAGTAATGAATAATAATGAATAATCTGAATTAAAAACTTTTAAACTTGTGAAGATATACATATTTGCTGTGCACTTTATTGCAAATATATTTGATCACTCTCACATTCTCAGTTTGTCTCTTATGTCCATGTTTTACTATTGTTTAAATGTACTTGTGTGTTGCTGGTGACAGCCGTATCCAGCCCACGTCCATCCTGAGGGGCAGTCGGGGCAGAGGGGGTCCCTTGAGGCTGCCCCCTTTGTCTGGGTCATGTCCAAACTCTCCACGTCCTGACAGGTGCACCCCCCAACTCTCATCGAGCACCCAAGCACCCAAAATCCTGTATCCTATACCACTCTGGCCCACTAAAAGCTCCCTACGTGTTTTTCTATTGACTTAGATGTCGTTTGTGCTGCAGCTGGTGTTCCTGCCCTTTTCTTCCTCCGACCTTTTGACCTTCATTTGTAGTCTTTCCTAATTGGTAGTCTTTGTAGTGTAGTTTTTCAAACCGGCTGGAAAAAATTAACAGTGACTTTCTTCTGTTTTTGTGAACGGCAGACTCCAGGGTAGCCCCTCTCCCCCAGGCACCGGCCGCAGAGGCAGACAGCTCCCACAGCTCCCAGCAAAGAGCAGCAACATTGAGCAAGGTGGGTGGCTTGTGTTTGTAAGTGCTGTTGATACAGTTTGGTGACATAAATGTGACAAAGGACATCCAAAGTTTGAAAGGTCACTGTGTCCAGACCAGGTCAGTGTGCAAGTAGCTAGTAGTAATAACCAAATCTATTAGGTGGATTTTTTCTCTTTCCTTTTAGGGAAAAAAAATGCTTACTTTACTTTACATTTGCTTACTTTTGTTTAAGATTAGTAATGTTAGATCTAGGTGCCATTTCTGTAACATAAAATCACATGATAACACAAAATGAGCTAATCTGAATCAGTGTGATGATATAAACATTGAATTATAATTAAATGAGTCCATGCTTATATGTATATAACATATTAGAGACTGCAAACTTGTAAGAAAGAGCCACGTACATCACTCTATGACACTTTGGGTTGAGGTTGACAGAACTGATTTTTATTTTGCTATGGATACTACCTGGATGACTGAGGGATTATAGATAAGTTTTTTTTGAGAAATCGTAAATCAGATCTTTCTCACCCCTGTCCACCCAACCTGCCCGCCCATGACTGTATAGCATTTTTAGAAGGAAATGTAATGTCATGTAATGTATATAGAATAGATAAGAAAGTGCTCCAGGTGAAATAACACTTTTTTGCCAGTTGAACATGTTCCCTCTTGAATTAAATGTATTATACAATAGCCTATATTCTAAGATCCTTTTCCCTTTATTCAAAGCCAAGATGTCTAGTTTAATCCATTTGCTCAAGTTCCTTAAATATTCAAAAGTAGTAATCGTAATAGTGTTTTTTAGATATAGAGCTTATAACAGCTAGTCCTTGGCATTTGATAGACATCTTTGCATTTGATCTTAAAAGCATCTGTTTTAAAATATGACTTTGGTCAACACAAGTGAGTTACTCAAGTTCAAAACCTCAGCATCATACGCCATCTAGTGTCAAAAAAACAACACTACACCGTGACTGTGACTGAAACCCTGATTGTTTATTAGAGATTGCTTATATAATCAATAATTCATTCCCACCTTCAGCCCTCGCAGGAGATGACAGAGGAGGTCAGCTTCCAAAGAAAGTGCATCCTTACAACAGGCCTTCATCGTCCCACGACCGAGAGATGGACCTCAAGATGAAACGAAAGGTGAGAGTATGCACTATTCAATTTTATTTTGTCTTACAACAAAAACAAAAATGCCTTTTACTTTTAATGTTTCCTGAACATAAACAATACAAACATTTAATCATTCTTTGTCCAAAGGACAAACTACTCTAAACCACAAAAAAGAAAAAAAAAGAGAAAAACTAGAAAAGCACTCAGAGAGCGCAGACCTCCGCCAAGGACTACCCCCATTTTTTATATAAATTGCGATAAAATCAGTCTTCTGGATCAGATCCGGATCAGCCTTTGGAATATGAAAGAGGATCCCATTGTCCATCCCTGAGTCAAATTTCATGGGGTTTGGTGAATAATTAACCAAGATATTGAGAAACAAAACTTTTGGCCCCATTTACCACAATGTTAACTCAAATTTCAAAGTGATCCAGAATTCAGGATTTCTTCCGGATTACCCCCAAAATTAATTCAGTTCTTCCTTTTCACATTTCCAACAAATGCTGAAAATTTCATCCAAATCGGTCCATAACTTTTTGAGTTATGTTGCTAACAGACAAACAAACAAACAAACAAACAGACAAACGCCGGCAAAAACATAACCTCCTTGGTGGAGGTAATGACTGAATTTTGAGCTAATTTAAAATATTGTGTAAATTATTAAATTATCATTAATATCTGAATCATTGTGGTGGTATAAATGTCATTGTTCTTGGACAGAGGATTGGCTGTGGACCTCTTGATTAAATAGACCTGAGCTGTTCATTTGACTGATTAGAAATGACTGACTCGATGAACTGCACTGGAGCTTTTATATATTTCATTTAGATGCTTAGTTTCCTTGTTCCACTAAATGAGTGTTTCCATTTCAGAACTATGCAGGCCAGAGATGCAGCAGTGACAACACGTCTGCACGATCCTCAGACAGTGACATGAGCGACATGTCAGTGAACTCTCGAGCCAGCAGCATCTCCAGACTCAGCAGCACCAGCTCCATCCCATCAGAGTATCCAGGCGGGAGGTTCAGGTTTGTAGAGAAGTTCAACTCTTTATTAAACACTGGTGGAAAGAGTACTTTTAAAGGTGCACTGTGTACATTTTTGGGTGGGGGTCCTGCTAGTTTCTATGGGTATGTAATGGAATGTTCCACAGTATTGCTTTTAACAGTTCTACCTTACATATTCAGTTACAGGTGGTTTTACTGCTTAGAAATAAATAGAGAAACAGGCATTCTGACTGCATTCTAAACTGTTCAGTTTAATGAAATATAAGATGGCTCATGTTACTTGTATAGTAACTATTTGGGTTAGTAAACCTTTATAAAATATAAATACAAACATAAATACAAAATAATGTAATACAAAATTCTTCATGAGTGTGATGAAAACTATCCTCAAGTGTATTTTACCTTTACTTTTAATTTAATTCACTGTATATTAATTTGCATGTTTTGTGTGTTTTTGCATGCCCACTGCTGCATGTTTGTGTCTGTCTGCATGCTCCGTCCAATCTTAAAACATAACAACAAACTGGACCTGGCCTGGACCTGGTCTGGACCTGGTCTGTACTTGGTCTGGACTTGGTCTGCACTTGGTCTGGACTTGGTCTGGACTCAGATCTAAGTCTTTAGAGGAGGAGAAGAGGGACAGGCGGATCTCGTGGGGGGTGAATGGGGAGGAGGAGAGGAGGAGGGCCACAGGGAAGAGGAGGTTTTCAGAGGAGCTAAAACGCAGAAGGCACACAGTGGAAGGAGAGACCACTGAGACCAGGTAAAAAGACATAAAAGACAAGACATACAATTAAAACTAAAAAAATCATTGCAAACATTGTAATTATCAAAACTTAAAAATGCTGCTATATGCCATAACTATAATGTAACATACTTATTTTCGGTCTGACCTTCAACTTGGCCTGGGGGCGTCACTAACTTGTTTCCATGAAGAAAGATACTTTTAAAGCCATACTGTGGAACATTCAAAAATACAGACAAAGCAAAATGGAGACAAGCTACTGGCAGTTCCTCCATTAGAAACATTACGTAACCTTTAAGAACAAAATACATTGAAAAGTTGACTACAATTACTTACATTTATTAGGTACCGAAACCAACTAACAACCAAAATGAAAACAGACAAACATGTATTCATATCAAAATTTTCTTAGTGATTTTGGCACTATAGCTTAGCTCTATACTCGATCATAAGCAGAGGTCAGCTACAGTGCCTTTTCCCAGTCCTGTGGCTCTGATCTGACAGGGACAAATGGGGCTCTCCCAATGGGCGAGGTGAGGATGTAGTGCAGGTTATTATCCCACTAATGTATTGGGTTTGGACTGAGGGAGGAGAGAAAGGGCTACACCGCAGATCAATCTCAATTCTGTTATAAAAGCACAGGCCAGTGGCATTTAGCACAATTTAAAGTTGGTTATTACAATGATGAAAGTTAGACAAAGTAGTAAATAAAACATGTTTGTGTTTGTATGGATGAGGGGACTTTAAACTATAATGCAAATTGAACTCAAGAGGGGAGTAGGGCTTTTCTTAATAATGTTTGCTTAATTATTCTACTTTGTCTTGAACCTGATTGGAGCTCCAACTAATACACTAAACAACTTGCTTTCTGTATAATACAATGAAGGAAAATCATATGAAATGTTTAAACAAAATCATAAATACTGAAGAGAAGTAGATGTATCACTACCTGCTAAGAGCACTCAAAAAAATAAATACAATCTTGACATTATTTAAATATATGATGCCCTTGTTTTCCCATTTAATGATTTTATATTGATCCAAAGCAAATAATTTAGATTTAAAGATGATTTTATACATCAAATATTAAAACAGCAAATAGTGACCATATATTTAGACTTAGACTTAGACAGACTTTACTGATCCACAAGGGAAGTTACTTGGACACGGTAGCTCACACATCACATTACATTACAATAGCACAGATTAAAAAACATATTTAAAAAAAAAAGGTAATTAATTACTAAATAAATAGCAATAAAAAAGACAGAGATTGGTGTTAATACGACATAAATTATATAAATGTATGTACAGTAAGTAAAAAAACAAATATTGGAATATAAATACAGTATATCACAGTTGTATACAAGAGGTCATAATTATTTAAATAGGGTCAACAATAATTTAGTGAATAAGATCAAAAATGCATAATAGAATTACCAAATAATTAAGTGCAAACTTGTCTTACTTTGCCAATTATTGCAGTGTTCATTGATTGTAGTATACTGTACATGAATAAAGCTATTATTGTTAAACTGCAATATGATACCAACCAATGAACCAGTTTGGGGTTTTAGTTCATTGCATGTGGACATATTTTACATGTATCATTCATAATATTAATTCCCCCATTGCTTCCATGTTGTCTTTGTGTTGTGTTGTGTTATGTTGTGTTGTGTATAGATTCCTCCCTGCATGCCTCAGATCCCTCCTTACACGTATCCTGTGCTGTGACTGCTTGGACCCCCACCTCCGTACCACGCCTGACCCCCCATTACCCTCCTCCCCACCCTCCCCTCGCCTGTCCCACATCTCACCAGCAGGGGCAGCAGAGAGGCCTCAGAGCACCCTCCCCCTGCCTTCTTCTCAACGTTGGACCCTGGCTCTGGGGAGGGGCCCACGTGAGGCAGATGTTGTGGGGGACAGAGGCAGTGTGGCTGGGGTGTCCTGTAGCACTCTTACCCCCTCTGAGCACATGGACATGAAAAGGCTGATCCGCACTAGGCAGCACAGAGTCCCAAGTCACCTTTGTCCAAGTGGATTAAACTGTTTTAGAGCAAATAATGTTAGTGAATGTTAGGAAAAAAATAATTAAGTTTCATCTGTGTGAAAAATCCCTCAGTCGTCCAGGTAGAATCCATGGCAAAAGGAAAAATTCAATTTGTCAACTGGACAAAAGTTTATTTGGTCGAATACATTTTGCAGCTCATCCAAGCTGCTTCTTCAGTTCTGGTCCAGAGGTGTGAAAGCACCCATTATGGCCCTGAATGATTATGCTAATAAGACCCCACACTCAGTGCAGTTCAATAGGCTAACTAACAAACAGAAACTGTAACCAGGTAGGTGTGTTAGTTTCAGAGTAGTTTCATTGTAGTTAGCTCCGCCCTGCAAGCAGATATAAGGCTGTGTCCATCAGCATTTTGACCAGAATTGAAGAAGCAGCTTGGATGAGCTGCGAAACATTGACTGGTTAAATTTCGCCTTTTGTTTCAGTGTTTGCTCTTTGAAACCATAATCCTTTGTATAAAATATTGTAATGTTAATGGAAACTGAAGCAAGAGGGAGTTTTATCAATACTGACAAAAATAAATGCCTTAATATGTTTGTTTTTTTTGCCATTGATCATGTCCACCTCTAGTTAAAGATGCGCTATGAAATTTTTCTGCTGGAGTGTCCTCCACTTCCTTGTCTCGATGGATATTATTATATATTATTATTATTGCTTTGCCTAGAAAGTTCCACAGTGTTCCATGGAGACAAGTAACAGGTCACAAATGTGGAATTAGGTCAAGGTTAAGCTAACCTTTTCACAGTATAGAATATTTTTTTATGGTATTTTTGCTCAACCTAGTGTATATGAGATTAATGCCATACTGCGGAACATTTCAGATAAAGCAATAGCAGCCCTATTGAGGTAAGCATGAAGTAGACACTCCAGAAAAGTTAGTGCAAGTCTAAGTCACAGCATTTAGAAAACCACAATTATTAAATGTATGCATTAGACATAAAATGTTAGCATTTGTTGTTGCAAAAAACTAAAAAGATTAGGCATCTACAAGATATGTTTCACATTTAGTTGTAGAGAACTTTTCCTCCTTCCCTTCATCACTCATCCCATTCTCTTGCTAAATGTGATGTTTCTGTGCATCATTCCTTATCACCTGTTTTCCTCTAAATCAGGTACTGTATACTAACTTAAGTTTTCAGTCAATTATAAGTATTATTTGTGACCCTCCCCTCTGTGCACAGGATGCGTGGTTCAGGTGGACGCAGTATGCTGAAGAGCTCCAGTGTGAGCAGTGAGATCTACACCCAGGAGCGCACAGACGGGAGTCAGTCGGACACAGCCCTCGGGACGGTCAGCGGAGGCACAAAAAAGAGACGCTCCAGCCTCAGCGCCAAAGTGGTCGCTATCGTGGGCAACCGCCGCAGCCGAAGTACCTCCCAGATCAGCGGGCCAGGTTCGAAAATGTCATTTAAATATCAATACAGTAAGGTAGGGATCTTCTTGTATTAAAGGTGCTGTACTTGAATTTTATTGTCTTAATGATGTGGAAAAAACAGAACTAGTTCATTTTTGCATTCCAAGAATCGTAATTTTTCCCTGCAATGACTTTATAAGCACTTCTCACAGCTTTCAGAGACCAGAGCAGAGCTTTGCTGTTATGGTAAAGCTAAAGACAGCTAGCATGCTAACGCAGACATTCTGACTATCAGACAATAAAACACATAATTAGATGCAGACATCATGCAGCAAATACATTTTGACTTCGAGAGCTGCTCATACAATATATCTGCAGCAATAAGACAAATTGCTTAAAAACATGGGGAAAAAATCGATTGATGGTTTGATACATGATACATGATATCCTTGCCCACTGTTTAAATGTAACTAAAAGAGAGTACATTCTACAATTTATAAAAAATATTAGCCGTATTGTTTTTTTACATTTCTCAAAAAGCTATGACATCACACCTGTATATACAAGTATATAATTAATGGTTTTGAATTATGTATTTTTGACAGTGTAGCTGCTTAGTTTTCCCATAGTGTCAAGAATCTGCTTATCTTCACATCAAGTCTTAAAATATACAGCATTTAAGCATTAATTGGTGTGCTGTTAATAGCCTGAACCAGCTTGCTGTTAAAATGCACTATTGAGGGTGTCTTACTTCCCCTGTGTGCCTTTAATGTAGGCCGTGGGTGCAGTTTTCTTTGTGGACACATTTGATTGACAGACAGAGCAGTGCCTCAAAGTTACCGTTTTCTGATGATGAAGGAGGGTGTTTTGGGCGCCATCAGCAGCTGTGCAAATAATTTTTTCCCCCTTTAAACATTCCAGGCTGCAGCTTTGTTGATAGCAAGTAGGTTTTAATTATATTTTGGGTTTTTTTTGAGAGATGATGGTATTTTTTGTTAAAAAAAAAAAAAAAAAAAATTAAAAAAGGTTGGAATTTCTTTGACAGTGAAAATAAAAAAAACAACAAAATTGTATAGTGCTACTGCTATTTTCAATAGACTTTTAACTTTTCAGGTGGATGTTCTGACACCTTCTTATCTCCATGGAAATGTTACTTTACATTTCAACTTTCATGCATTTATTCAATTATAGGTATTTTTATTGCTAAAAATACCTGTAATTGCTAAAAAAAAAAGAGATTGCTAGAACGGGTCTTCCTTTTAACAGATCTGATCTGTAATTTGACCTAGTGTTGCCATGCTTATGTCCATTAAGATAGGTAAGTGTAAAGTTATACCATGGAATATTCCAGGCAAAGCAAAAACATTTCCATGGAGACAAACAGGTGGAACACTTCCCACCCAAAATGTTACAAAGTGCACCTTTAATTATTGTTACTAAGCTATTTTGATTAAGAAGGTGAAATATGTATTATTGATGTTCTTTTTTTTACTGTTAATTTATAACCTGTTAATAATACTGTTAATATTGTTGTTTACTATTAATAATACATAGCCTATATTGCCATATACATTATCATATGTATAGCAAACTTATACAATACATTTACAATACTTTTTTTTCTCTTCACGAACAATATCTCATTTTGTTTCACCTACGCAAAATTACACTCTAAATGTCCATATTGATGAAGTGATCTTCTTAAGTATATTGCTAATAGTCACCACATTTTTCTGACAAAGCAGTGGTGATTTGGTGCTTGTAAATCACAATACCAAACAATAAGTGGTGTTACATAACCATTCATTTCCTGGTCTCACCCACACAGCCTCAGTGGTTTCAGTTCAATTAGACTTCTTTTAAAGCAGCAGACATGATGAAAGGCGAATGCAGTGGTATTATTTTGTGCTGTGGACATAAAAAGCTTTTAGTGGACATTGTGCCTGAGGTGGGTGAGCCTGTATTATTCTCTGTCTATTATTGTAGACTAAGACCAAAGCAGGGAAAGAAGAGACTATACTTCATGGGAAAAATATGCAGTGCAAACTTTGAGATACAATACTGTTTGGTGAAACATGGCACTACAATCTAAGATCAATGGACTTTTTGGATTCCAATACAGCACTTTCAAAAAGCAACAACAACAAAAAATAAAATTAGGTAGCCTACCAAAAACTGCTACTGGTAGGTTTGATGTCTGCTGGGTCCTGGGACTATTTATTTAACGCCATAATAAATGATTAAAGTGGGACCAAACACACCTCAATTCCAACAACCACATTTCAAATAGAGCTTCTAAACTGGGCAAGACTTGGATGACAAAATAAAAGAGTGAGAGAGGAGGAGGGTCGAGGTCTGGTATAAAAATAGTGTGATTGGTGTGACAGGTATCCGTACATCAAACTCCACCCCTGCAGTCACATGTTTGTATTAAGAAACACCAGACTGCAATCAGGGCAGTCTTTCATAATGTCACCAACTACTTGAAATTACAGAGGTCACTGAAGGATGAACTTAGATTTAGACATTTTTGACAAAAACATTTAGTACAGTAGATAATGCTATTAAAACACCATATAGACAGTTTAGTAGCAAGGATTAGTTCCACTTTAAAAAGTGCAATGTATATTCAAAAAATTGTGTTTAATATAATTTATTAACTTACATGTTTTTATATAATAATTAATACAGAAGTAGGTACAGAAGAAAGTACCAATCAGGTACTGACACCTGGGTACTGTTTAAGTACTGGTACCTGTAATAGAAGGTGTCCAACCCTAATAGTGTGATCTAATAAGGATAGGATTGTTAAGCTTTTATTTATTGTACTTTACTCTTTTGGTTGGTTCAAAGTAAGTGCTTTTTGTGTATTTTCCCATTATAGATAAATAGCACTTGGAGGCAGATAACTGCTTATCCCCCCTCTTGGGCAAATTACTTAACATTAGAAACACTGATGCTTAAGATGCCTTTAGTAGTTCAGTTGTGAGAACATTTGCATTTCTTACTTTTATTGACAATGTCCAATAGATGACCATACCATTGTTATATGGTTAGCTTTGTTAAATCAAACTTTCAGATTTTAAATTTACCTTTTTTATTGGATGTGTAATGAACATGCTGTTTATTTATTTATTTTTTTTAAGTTTGTTTCTTTTACATATTTCAATTGTGACATCTGTAATCGTAACATGACATTATCCTGCTATCCACGTACCTTACTCCCTCTCTTCTTCCTTGCAGAGGGTAAATCTAAGAAGGAGAAGGGCGCCCCCATCCAGCGGAGCACGGAGACAGGTCTAGCAGTGGAGATGGTTCGGAGCATGCCCAGTCGACAACCCAGCCGCGAGTCCAACAACGGCAGCATCCACAGCTGCAACTCTGAGGGGAAGTCAGTAACACCAGTTCCTGTTTTCACACAACTACTCTCACTCTTATGTAACTGTCTCTTAAAGGAAACCGCTCCTCGAGTTGTTCATTTGCACCTGTGCTGTTAATGCTTCATGTTAACAAATGGCATCCTGGACCCGACAGTTACCATATATATTTATAGTGTGTGAAAACTAAAGGAGCACTGTCAGAAGGATGGAGCAAAGAGGGCTGCAATGATTAATCGGTATAATAATACAGGAAAAGTGCCACTATGTTTTTAAACTCCTATACCTAGAATCAGTTGGACAATTGCAGTCCTGGAATTGCCTCTCTCTACTGAACGTAGCTGTTAACTTGAAAACCACCACTACATGACATCGCAAGTTGGAACAGAGCATTTTGAGCTTTGGACATGTAAATGAACTAATAATATATGATTACTCAAACATGTGGGAAAGAAATAAAACATAACTGTAGGCATTTTTGAGGAGTTAACAACATTCTAACATTGCTAAAAGCTCTCAAGAGTCAACTATGTGTAATAGAGGCCCTTCAAGCCCTTTTTGTAGATCAATGTTGCATTTTACAATGAACAAAATGTATGATCTAAGTACGGCATAGTTTAATACAAAATACCCTCCAAAAGCAGTATATGTGTCCTTTAAAGTTACATCCCTTATAGAGCACTATCTCCCTGTAAGAAGTGATGGATTTTAATTAGTAGATAGTTGAAAAAAGAGGCACTGTGAAGCAAATCTGGAACAAAACACCAAAAGTGACAGGATCAAATTAAGGCCTGCTGTTTTCGGAGATGGATTTGCTCACTTGGGTAATTCCATAGATAATTTTCTTGCTGTAAATAATGATTGGCAAAGACACAGTGAAATGAAGTCTCCCCTCCACATGCTGACTGGGTACAGAGAGGAGCAGGAGTCTTTAGTCAGCATATACAGACAAAATGCTACCCCTCTGCAAACTCCGATTTACCAGCCAGAACAGGTGCCGCCATGATTACTCTCTAAAATGACAAGGGGTTCAAATCTAGGGGGAAGCATAGCAGAAGTCTATGGCTTTAAAAAAGATTAAAGTTTTTAGTAACGCCATGTTTTTCATTTTGAAAATTTTGAACTTTCAAATCCTATGGTGTACTTTTTATTTTTCATTAAAGGTGCAATGTGTTAGATTTCTAGTGGAGGGTCTGCCAACTCATGTCTCCAAGGAAATGTTATTGATTTGCCTAGAAGGTTCAACAGTATAGATTAAGCCTATCTATTACAAGGGAGACAAGCAGGTTACAGCACTACGCTGCATTACAATTCGGATCTGTGGAGAGTCGCCCATATTCACACAAACAATATTGTATTTTTGATGACCAGAAACACTTTTGATGAGTAAATGCTAGATGGAAATGTTTAAAGTCATGCTATGGAACATTCCAGAGAAAGCAATAACATCTCCATGGAGATAAGCAGGTGTCAGACCCTCCATCAGAAAAGTTGTACTGTGCACCTTTAGATATTTGACTTCAAAGCATCACTGTGACTGAGACTGGACCAAGACTAAATTCAGACTAAATCTACAAGAGGATAAAAACCTGACTAAATCATGAATTATGGAGTCTAAGTGGTGCCAGCTACAATCTAGGTTTAAAGTGAAAATCTACAACAAATTGTGGCACTTCTTTCCCAATTAAAAAAATTGCTGAAAGATACCAATAAATATATATAGATATATCGATACAGCGTATTATGATAATGATACTGTATCACAAAATTTTGTATCATGATATTTCGATATTTTGATATTTTTGCACTCACCTATTACTGAATAGGTACAGTAGGATTTTTTCTTAAGGCGACTTTCTTTTCCAGTCTGATCTTCTCTGGAGTGAACTTGGGTGCCAGCAGTCAGCTGAGTGGCTTCCTGGATGGTTTGGGTCCAGCACAGTTAGTGGGCAGACAAACACTCGCCACTCCTGCTATCGGTATATATCACTTTAGCAAGTTTTGTCTAACAATATTTATTTCTATCTATTTTATTAAATGGATTCTCTCTTGTAGGTGACATCCAAATCGGTATGATGGAGAAGAAGGGTCAGCTGGAGGTGGAGGTGATCAGGGCACGGGGACTGGTGCAGAAACCTGGGTCCAAGTCACTTCCTGGTGAGTCTTATTTAAATACACAGAAAATGGCCAAAACATTGTGAAAACTGATAGGAATAGTGGATATAATTTCATGGTTGCAAGATACAATATTTGGCACATTTTTCCAAAGCTTTTCCAAAATTTTTAAATGCATATTGACCTATGGAGAGGGTATACTGCAAGATTCCTCAAATACTGTATGCAAGAATGAAAATAGAAGTGGATTTGATGGTTTGATGAGGCTACATAAGAATATCATTAACAAAGAGAGACAGAAAAGTTGTTGAATACTTCAGAGCTTAAAAAATATTAAACTTTGGATATCAAGATTTGTGGCAATGATCCTTAAATCATTAGTTGGCATGAAATTTGTCTAGCTGTGGATTTCAGAGCAAAGCATTGTTGCCCTAGTAATTAATGATTCAAAACAAAATATCCTTTCTTTTAAATTGTGAAAAGTCCTCAAAATTGCAACTATAAATAAGAAAAGAGGTGGCAGGCGCTCCACCAGAAATGTTACACAGTGAATCTTTAAGCTCGGTCTATACTTCTGGCTTCTTTATGTTCCAAGTAAGAAATTCAACCTAGGATATTAGGAACTGTGTCTATTGCTAATGGCTTTTGTTGCTCTGTTTCTCCATACAGCTCCCTATGTCAAGGTCTATCTGCTGAATAATGGGGCGTACGTAGCCAAAAAGAAAACCAAGATTGCACGGAAAACACTTGACCCGCTGTACCAGCAAGCACTGCTTTTCGATGAGAGCCCACAGGGTAAAGTCCTACAGGTGAGCAGGACAATTATTTCTCTCCATCTGAGCGTTCAGAGCCACTGTGATATAATACTATATGTTTCACAAAAATATCACAAAGAGATTTCTAGAGGTTTACCAAAACTGTACAACATCGTGATTTGTACCACATACTATACTATATATAATTTTGCTGGTAAAAGTAAATGTTGATTGATGTAACAAGGTAAACCAAATGTTTACTATCATTTGCAAGACCACCTCTCATATTTTTAAAAAAAAACAAACTTAGATTTTGTTTATTTATTTTATTTTTTTTAGATCACTTACATTTCTGGTTTAGGGACCTGCTAGTCTCTTTGGAGATATTATTGCATTGCCTGGAACCTGAATAAATGCAAGATAAATATGTTAAATGCCAAGTTGTGAAATGTTTCTGGAGAAGCAATAATATCACAGTAACAACAAAGTAAAATTATAGTATTAATTAACTGTTCTGTTATTTCAAGGTAATTACCGTATTTTCCGGACTATAAGTTTTTCCGGAGTATAAATCGCACCAGCCTAAAAATGCGCAATGAAGAAGAAAAAAACATCTATAAGTCGCACTTTTTGGGGAAATGTATTTTGTAAAATCAGAGACCAGGAACTGACATTTCATCTTGAAAGACAAGTTATAGTAATAACAGAGAGAGCAGGCTGAATAGGCTTTAATATGTTAACGTAACATATTAACAGTTATTGAGATAATTATAGCATTAACAACATAACATAAGTTTATCAAACTCACGATCTCACTCCAAATCACTAAATCCATTGAGTGCTTCATCCTCGGTGTCACTTCTGCGTGACCTCCGGAGATAAACAATAGATCCATGATATAAACGGAGCGCCGCTTCCTCTTCTGTGTAGCTGTCATCAGACTCAGCATCAGTTCCAGTTAGAATTATTCTGGCCTTTCTGAATCCCGACAGAATGGTTTCGATTGTCATTGAAGTTCAGGCTTTGTCGATTCATCCAGTGACTTCCAGGAAAGTTGCATGGCACACCTTCCCGGTTGCCATGAAGCTGTGTTCTCCATCCCCACTTTCCACCAGTCCCTCACAAGTTTCTCACTCAATCCAAACTTTCTTTCTGCTTCTCGATTACTGTTTTCGGCTGAATATTTCACTATTTGCAACGAGACAGCGGCTCTTTCTACAGGAGGCATGCGCAGTAGAGTGCGAAGTGACAGTGGTACAGGAGTAATAGTAGTACTAGATACTGACACACGAGCCTGGAGCGCCTTCTCGCGGCTGTCAGTCTGAAAATTTTAATATATAAGTTGCACCGGAGTATAAGTCACAGGACCACCCAAATCATGAAAAAAAGTGTGACTTATAGTCCAAAAACTACAGTACTCAAGTAGAATTACAGTGGTATAATAAAACTGTGATTAATACTGCTATTTTTTAGTACAAATGTTACACAAATAAGAAACAGAGTATTTGGTCTAATATTTTTTTTCCTGTAGGTGATTGTTTGGGGAGACTACGGCCGCATGGATCACAAGAGCTTCATGGGAGTTGCACAAGTCTTGCTGGACGAACTGGACTTATCAAGCACAGTAATCGGCTGGTACAAGCTGTTCCCCCCCTCCTCCCTGGTGGACCCCACACTGGCCTCTCTGACGCGGAGGGCCTCTCAGTCATCACTGGACAGCTCCTCAGGGCCCCCCGGGGTCCGCACCTAGTGGACCAACCAAGTCATTACACCAACTCCCATAGACAACAATCAGAACCAGTCGTATTATAGAGAAAGCTTTGTTAAGATCTGACAATCACTTCTTTTGTTTGTCTGTGCTTGGGGACGTCTCAGTGTTTCATGTCCATTTGAGGGGGAAAAAAACGCAACTTTGAGTCCGTAAGCAAGTAGAGACTAATCTATTGGCGCAAGTATCAAAAAGAAACAACAATAGCAATGTATTGTATGTAAGCGTCAGAATGTATGGTCTTTGAGATAGAGGACGTCAGCCTCTTCAACTACAGGGGGCGCACTCCTCCTTCTAGTACTATTATTACAATTACTGCAGAAAACCCAAGCCTGCCAGGAACTCAAGTCTGGAAGCACAGGGCCTTCTTTCGGTGCCTAGACCTTAGTCCCATCACTGCTCCCTCTTTCTCTATGTTTACCATGGCTACCCGAAAGCCAATCTGTTTGAACGTTTGATGTTTATTTTATTTAAACTTTTAGCTTTTTTTTAAAACTTGCACATGATGTTTTTGCAGTGCTCATGATATGTTGTCAGTCTGATGTGTGCATGGAGAGAAAAAATCTAAACACAAAGGATAAAAAACTACTAAGTGTCTGCAAGTGTTATGCAGGGGTGTAACAATAGGGGGGGCTGGTGATGAAGACACCATTTTTACAGTGAGTTAGTGTGCTGCGTTGTTTTCCTTGTTCCACCGCTGGTCAACAAGGCCAGTCGTCTTTGTATAGATGTATATTAGGCCTCTCAGGAGGTTGACCAATAAATAAAGTTTATGTCACTTTGAAATATCACAAGGGTACAATGTTGCTGTAAAAATATAAAAAATAAAAATGCATAGGAGATATACTTTTTATGTGCCCTCACCCCAGCACGTTTTATCCAAACTTGTGTTACATTATTTTGAGATTTTAACTCACAAGCACAAGAGCTTGATTTTGTACGAGAAGTTTAACTTTTTGAAGAAAAAATAAATATGTAGTTAAAAAATAAAGCAATGATCCCGTCACCGGTCTAGCTATAGGAAAAACAGATGAATTGCTCAGTTTCCTTGTGCATCTCTGTGAATGTGAAAGTAACCAATCAGACTGATCTGTCGGGACGCACACACCAATGCCCATCCTTCGTTTGGCCCATAGACCCCGCCCACTGCGCGAAGGGGCGGGGCCAGCATGACTTTGGAACCAGTTCCAAGCTGCATGCACATTTTTGTAAAACCGAAAAAAGACGTAGGTTCGTGTTAGTTTCTCATACTGTAGGGCCGCTTGTCTGTTGCATGCAGTTGTACAGTTTGCTCGTACTTGAATATTAAAGAGGTAAAAACCAAGAAGCCATTACAACTATGACACATCGACAGCAGTCTCCACGCGTCCCTCAGTCCAGAATGTGTGTCTCAAAACTTACTCTTGATGTCTTTTCTGGAGCAAAGATTTCTAGCTGTCCTCGTCCTCGCCCCTCTCACTGTAGTACACAATAAACTATACCTCCGAGGGGCTCACGTGTATGAATACATGTACAAATCAGAGGAAATATGAATTATGTTTCAACATAAGGATATTCTAATATGTGGACTGTTTAGTTCTATATAGAGAATATGATGCACAGAGTCACACATGTAAATATTCAATATAGCCTTCACTGGTTTGTGCTATCTACAACGGGGCCAAGACTTCAACTGAGCAGCATCTATGTTTAGGGACCATCAGTGGACGCACAACCCACTATACAACTACACACTTTCTCTGTGCTCTTTCAAATGTCCATACAGCCCCATCCTCCACCCATGTTTCAACTAATATGGGTTTTCTTTTCTCAGTGAAGCAGGTTGTCTTATTTATTTAAATTTTTTTCATTTTATTTTTCTCTGTCAGTATTATCAGGAAAAATGCTGATTGTTTACAACTTTTGAGTTCCATGGAATCAGAAAAGAAAATTAGAAAATACTCAAGCATTCACTGCAACATTTCTTGTTTGTATAGATGATGTGGCTCAAATGATGTGTATGTTTTATATTTTAAAAAAAAAGTTCATTTTTATTATTTACAAATAAAAAGAATGTGTGGAAGAAAAGTGCTTTGCTGGTTTATTATTACTGCTGGTGATGTTCAGAATCTGCTGGATTTGCTAGATCAGCTCATAAATGCTCAAGTTTTTATCCCCTGTTTGGTAGCTCACAAAATTATTGATGTATTCACACATTGGTTCAATAACATCATATGAGTTTGTTTTTTGGTAAATTCTTCTATATAAATACAAGTGAGATATCAAATGTAAATAGTCACATGTCACATATATATAATGCTTTTACATCTTCAAGACACTCAAACACATTCACACACTAGTGCATGCATACTCTGGGGCCAGGCGGGTTAAGTGTCTTGCCCAAGAACACAACAGCAGTATTCACAGGAGGGAGCTGCCAATGAGCTGCTAATCTGTGGGTCCTGCTGAAAAAGAGGACGAAGAGGAGTTGTAATTTTGCTGCAAGTAAAATTGCTTTATCAAAAGTTCTGTCATAATATTACCTCTTCCTGCTTTTTACTAGCCAGGCTGATGCCACCTAGTGCCTCTGCTCAATTTAATTTCTCTCTAGCGACTATAGGTCAAGAATCGCAATACACTAGACAGTTCACAAGAACCCTGGAAATGCGAGTTCGGTCACCAGCCAATCAGCGAAGAGCCATATATTCTGTGTCGGCAACGATTCTCGAGATCGAGGATTTAAATCCGGAACAAAGAGAATGTTTGGTGAATTTTATCAAGGGGAAAGATGTTATTGCCCTTCTTCTTATTGGATTTGGGAAAAGCTTAATATACCAGTTAGCCCTGTTAGCGGCGCATTACAGCCAAATAGCAGCGATTGGTTACATGAAAAAAGTACCTGCCTACCGTCGAGTGAATGAATTCTAATGCTGTGAGATCAGACAGACTACGAGAGTGAAACTGGCTGATGAATCAGGCTAACTTTTTACATTCAAAAACTCTCAAGTGAATCCTTAGCCTTAGAACTTAAATTTGATTAAACACTTAACTACTTACAAACCAAGATGGCACCATGTAAGGTTGACCTGACTACTTAACTTACTTGCACTTTTTTGCCCGGTTGCTCTGCCCATACTGTATATTTTGTATTTGCACATCATAGTATTTGTACCTTATTTAATAGATTTCATTTGAATTCTTATGCAACCATCACATCATAGTTAAAGATCACTCTAAGATTTTCAGTCCTGATGTACTTTCCATTTTTTTGTTATGGTAAAGATTACTTGGGTTTCATAATTAATTGGCTTGTTACTAATGACAACTCATTCATTCATATCAGTTAAAGATCACTTCAAACTACTTTGCGCAGCTGACATGATGTAACCTTGTTTTGCTACGTTACTGATAAGACCTATTTTACATAATTTCTATACACACTTTGAGTAGGAAGCTGAATCCACACGGCCTCATGTGTGACCTGCTGCTGAGGGCTTGGGAGATTTATGTTCCACATCCTTTACTTAAATAAGCACCGAGGGCCCCCCAAAACAACATCTGCAAGCAATCTCCCGCGGCAACAACCCCCCCAGCTGCCCCCCTCCCCCATGCCAACCGTCCCCCCACTCGCCCCCCTCCCCACTGCTCCAAAAGGTCGTGACCCCTCTGTAAGAAAATACAGGCGTACAGAAAAAGTCATAGGCGATCATAAACTTTCCACGCAACAAGCAGGAAATGGATTAATCTATCTAATCAGGTTAAAGTTCAAACATTGGCAGCAAAATGTAGTTTGATGTAAAAAAGGGAACATGAGATTGTTTTTAATGATATTTTATTTGGATATTTTGACATTTACAAACAAGCTCAGCTAAAAATCAAAACACAAATGTTTGGGAAAAGAAAATGACGTCCGCAATGATGTCTCTTGGCATGTTTACTCAGAACTGGGACTCTACCAGGCTGCTTTTTATACCAATGCCCAAGTAACAAGAGGTGAACAAATGAAAGTTTATATGTAATTAAAAGTTTCAGAATAAAAGTTATTTTTAATACTTTTGATGCATTCATATTCTGTTATATTTATATTTATTGTAAATAGATTTTTCCTTAAAGGTGCATTGTGCAAGTTTTCTGGTGGAGAGTCAATCAAATGCTTTTCTTTGTGGAGATGTTATTGCTTTGACTGGAATATTTCACAGTATGGCATTAAACCTTTCTATCTACATGGAGACCAAACCAGACCAAGCAACAGGTTTGCTCTTTAAGTTAATAAAACCACCTGTAATTAAATAAGTGTAAGGGAAATCTTTTTAATGCCATACTGTGGAACATTCCAAGCAGAGCAATAACATAGCCATAAAAACAAACAGGTGACGGACCCCCAACCAAAAAGTTACACAGTGTACCTTTAAAAGTGATATTAGAACACTTTGTAAATTTGCATAAAAATTGGAAGTGAATATCAATATGGCAGTCAGGCTGTAAAGGGGATTGTAAAAATGTGCTGCCATAAATGAAGTAAACAATAAGGGCTCTAAATGTACACATTAGAGAACATCTACCTCATTTACTTAACAGTTTAACAACAATAAAGAAGGTGTAGAAGTAACAACATCGCAGCTGAGAGGGTGTTACGGCATCCACCATAAACCAGACACTATAATTACATCTTAAATGAATTTAAAATGTTTTTCTTTCTCTCTCAGTACATGTCCAGAAAATGTATTATCTTTAGGGATGTTATAAGCTTGCATTCTATTAAAAAGACTACATCAGATCTTAAAGGTGCATTATGTCACTTTTTTGCGGGAGGGTCTACCACCTGCTTGTCGCCATAGAAACGTTCATGTTCATGTCCCACAATCTCCCATTGTATGGCCTAAATGTATATGCATCTATCTATTCAATTAGGGCACATAAAAACCTGAAATCAAGAATTATGTGCGTGGACTTGCCTCTCCACAGCAATAACAAAGCAAAGCAACAATAACCTATCCACATACAAGCAGCTGTCAGACCAAAGGTATACATAGTACCTTTAAGCAAACATTTATTGGTCAGTTATTATTTTATACCTGATATTTTCGAAATACAAAGCTAATATTCTGAATATTGAATATTCTGGTAAAGGAACAACAAAAAACTGAGCTAATCTGAGTAGCCCATTTGCAGTTGTGCGCCTCAGTTGCCAGTAGATGGCATAGTTTTGTTTGGAGACAGTTAAATGACTGACGAACCTCTTTGCAGGTACATACACACGTTATTTTCTTTTAATCAGCATTTTAGCCGATTTTGCCTGTCTTCTCTAACAAGACTTATGAACCTATTTCACGGCAATTTTACAGAAAACATAAAAACTAAATAATTCGAACTTGCATAATAACCCAACTTTAAATCGCATTTTTCTAAGGCGAGAGCGCGTCTATCAACTAATTCAATCTAGCTCACACAGACACATTTAAAGGATATTTAAAGTAATATTTTCTGCAGCTGCTCGGTGGAGTCGGTGGTTACTTTTCCAGGAGCGCAAGTGGAAAAATCACCCGAATCCATGTTACCCGATATGTCTTTTCTATTTAAGGAAAACGTGGTGTAATTTTGGAACGTTATAGGAGGAAATTGAATTAGCTGAACTGAAGGCAGAGGCGGTTGCAAATTTGCATGTGAGAAGAAGCAACTTTGTCTCCGGGTGTTTTGATTGTAAGGTGGAAGCTGATGAGAGGTTGCGCGTAATAACATTAGTGTCAGTAAAACAAAAACATCGGGCTACTTTCGCAAATGGGCATGTGTTTATTTGCTCTGAGGGGGGTCATGAGGTTAAAGAAAACACCAGGTGAAAAGCGCAAAGAGGTCACAAAATCCAATGAAAGCAAATAAAAGAGTTAGCGCGCTGAGAAAAAAAAAAAAAAAAGTTTGAAAAAAAGGATGCACTGCGTAACTTTTTGTTGGAGGGGCAACACCTGCTTGTCTCCGTGGAGATGTTATTGCTGATAATATGCCATTAATCTTATTTATTACCAGTGAGCAGGTGACATCAGCAGGCCTCGTATCTAGTCAGATCTGTGGAAAGACGACACCAAAAGACAAAAAAAAAATAAAATAAAATAAAATAAGAAAAAGTTAAGGATGTTTCTGAGCAGTAAAAACATCCATAAATGAACGTGTGCACTCTTAATGCCATACTCTGGATACCCGGCAAAGCAATAACATCTCCATGGAGACGGACAGGTGGTGGATCCCCTACCAGAAAAGTTACACAGTGCACCTTTAAAGGTCAGTTACGAATGCTACGAAATAATTAAAAGACGCGAATTTCAAAACGCATTGTGAATGACGAATCCATATCATTTTGCAACTCTGAGGCCATAATTTGGCAAGAGACTGGACATTTTTAAAACTTACTGGGCTATTAAATGTAGGTTTGAATAGAATAGACCTACTTCCTAGTTGGCTGTGGCCCGTTACGCCGCTGTACAGAGATGGTAACAGGTTTCTAGACTAGAAGTGAGCCTCTTGCGCGCTCAGAGAGGAAGGAGGCGGTCGGAGTGACGGTGGCATCGTATTCGCTTTCCAACCCCTGTTTGCGCACCGCTGTGACTGGATATGTGTTTTAGACCCATTAACACACGTGCTTCTACTTTATAGCATGTGAGAGGAGGACGCGCGCACGCATACACACACACACACTCTCTCTCACACACACGCCCGGCAAAGCTCGCGGTGGTGGAGATGCCATGCCTCGGAACCACGGCGGAGATGAAGGCGGCAGCTGCTCCGGGCTCTGGATGAGGACTTCGCCGGGTAAAGATGTGGAGTCGGGGCGGAGGGTGACGATGATGAACAGCGCGGGAGACGGGTTGCTTTCCGCCTCCTCTGGCTCCTCGGCTGCAGGTGGAACCGGGTCCGACAGCCTGAGAGGGAAGCGGGGAGCGCGGCTAAGTCTCTTGGGCAAGCCGCTCATCTACAGCGCACAGAGCGGCCGCAGGAACGTCCGATACCGCCGTCTCCAAAACTATCTGTACAACGTGCTGGAGCGACCACGAGCCTGGGCCTTCATCTACCATGCGTTTGTGTAAGTTACCCTTGATTTGCATGTTTCTACCGGCTTTTCTGCGTTGTGGCTGAGTGCGATAAACTGGCTGAACACCTGTTGATGCGGAGTTTTCTGAGCTCAGTTTTCTGCAGCTCTAACTTCAGTAGGCTCATCTGTCGAAGCTATATTGATGCAATAACGGAATTCAACTCAGTGTGTTTTGGCGGTGGTAGGCGACGACACGTGGTGGTGCATAGTCAACAGTGAACATGACTAGGCTGCCTACCTTCTTTTTTTTATCTGAGGCAGTGGATTTGGAGTTTGACAGTTGGATCAGTGTTGAAATAGAATACAGATCATGTCGTAATAGCTTATGTTAGGCAATAATAATGATGTTTATAAAGTAAGCATGGTAGATTTGGCATATGGCTCTTCAAACCAGTCTAATCATTTACTCTGATGTCATAAATTTGTAGTGTAACAACAACACTATTTTAAGATGCAACTCGAAACGTATTGTGCTATCTATAAAGGGGGCTTACTGAACAAGTGAAACTGCATTTTATGAATTAATGTTCCCTTTTTATGATCACATCTTTATTAGATGAGGACATATCACATTACAAGGTAACAGAAAACAAAGCACAGTCTTTATTTTTTTACCCCATTATAACTCAAATGGCCCTTAAATATCAGTGTACTCATCATAATTATTGTTGGTCAAAGTGTCTTTAATCTCATATGAAAAGCTTCAATAAAGATAAGTGTGTTGTAGGGCTACTGAAAATCAAATCCTAATCAATACTAAAACTTGTAATGATACTGCAAAAAATTACGTTAAAAACAAAATTTGAGCTTTCCGCAGTTTTAGAACAAATTTATTAAAACGAATATCAAGACGTCATGCAAGAGAAAGAAAGTACTATTATTTGTGTATGAAAATTACATTCTGTTACTAAAAAAGAAGTATTTTTATCTGCAATGTGGTATCGCAATTGGTAGCCAGTACTGAGTTAATTCCTGAGAATCTAAATCTATACTAGTATGTTGTCAAGTGTTTGGCAATTTGAATTGTTAATCCATATTTTGGAGAGAAGATAGTCAACTCTCCTTGCTCAGTTTTTTTTTGTCTTTAAACATGTTAGAAATTGCATTATTACTTTTGTATGTCAGTTACTCTCAAATATGTTGTGTAACATCAATCTGGAAACATTAAGTTTACATTCAACTGGAAGACAGGTCAAAAATTTCTTACTTTTTAAATTTTCCTAAAATATGTTACTACTTTTAGCATCACTAAATTTGCATGTACTTTCATATTTGATTACTGAATCTCCTAAAGGTCATAGGATCTCTCTGGCTTCCCCCAAGTTACAGGTTAGATCTGTGAGAGGTGACCCTGCTCATAGTAAGCACGCACTTTTTCTGAGCTATAAAACACTTGTGAATTAATATATGCAAGGTAGAACACTTTAATGCCATACTGTGGAACATTTCAGGCAAAGCAATAACATCTCCATGGAAACAAGCAGGTAGCAGTAATAGTTGCTGTGGTTGGTACTAAATGACAGACCCCCCTGTCAGAAAAGTTACGTAGTGCATAGTGCATACTTTTTATGGCTTTTCCCAGTTCTTAAATTTCACATCCCACCGCGAGCATCTGTTGTGCTGGCCTCACAACTGTCTGACAGAGGAAGGAAGTGGGGACACATGGCAACACAGAGAGCCAGTAGGGCTAGTAGTATGTAGGCGGGCCTATTGTCAGAACTCTGTGTATTTCAATTGTTCAATATTTCTATTAAGTGCCTGTACAACATTCTAGCTGCAAAAGGTCAATGTTAACCTCTGCAGAAGAGGTATTTTTGTTCTGTCTGACATATACTAGTAAGTGTTTTATTTATGCATGTATTTAATGTAAAAAAAAAAAAAAAGACTGCAATTTAGCCTCCACTCACAAGGGTCAATTGCTACTGCCAGAGCAAAGCCAGAGTCAGTGAGGGCATCCAATAACAAATTAAAATGTAAATTATTCCACGTATTGAAGCAGGCAACAGAAGACAAAGAGGAAAATAACTGTCTATACATAATTTGAATTAAAGGTTCACTATAATACAGCACAGGCACCAATATACCTTAGACATCCTGGCTCAAGACACCTTTTCTCCTTGGCATTTGTCCAGAGTTAGGAACAAACACCTTGGCCCCTTGCTGTTATTAGTATTTTTATTATTATAATTCTGTTTGCTTAGCTTATTGTATATTTTATTTCACTGTAAATGTTGTTCAGCACTTTAGTAAGCTTTGGCTGTTTTGAATGTGCTATACAAATAAATTTGATTGATTTGATTGGATTTATAACTTCACCGGTTGTCTCCATAGAGATTTTGTTTTTCCTGGAGTGTTCCTGGTGTTCAATTATAGGTGCTTTTATTGCTGAAAATAGTCTGAGAAACATGCTTTCTTCTTATGAGTGGGCTCGTTTCTCCCCATATGTGCCTTGTAACAGCATGGTGACTTTACCTCCTTGTATATAGACATACATGAGTTTAATGCCATACTGTGGACCATCCCAGGCAAAGCAGTATAAACCAGAAAAACTATGTGGTGCAACTTTAAATGTAGCCACACACCCCAATACATACACTGTGAAGTTTAGACTCAGGGCAAAGCAGGATATTTTTGTCAACATGTACTTAGTTTCAGATTTGACCTTAACCCCAACCTTAACAATTATTCATGTCACTTGCTGATTATCTGAACCACTTATCTCAAGCAGAAACGCTCTGATTTGTTTAGCAAAGTAGATGAGCCGCACAGACAATCAGGGGACAGGGTTTTGCACTGTGACTCTGTGAAAAAGATTTCTTTTTGATGAATTCGAGCACCTGCAAAATACGTCTGAGTGTATTAAAGTCATTATATAAGACTAAGGTGCAATTTAAGTTGTTTATTATGGAGTAATGTTTTATTGTCTCCCATATTTTATAGGAGCCTGGTTGAGGTCAAATAGCTGTCATCTAAAATTGCAATAATCCTTATATAATGTCATTAACAGATGTAGAGTTCAACCACTTTATTTGAAACAGTGAAACATATTTGTTCTTACTTCACTGTAATCTAGTAGCTACAGCATGTTTGTAAATCAGACTACCTCAGGATTTGAACCCACAACCTTATCAACTACAAAAAGGAGGACTTGTCTCACGGTCAATTTAATATTCTTACCTTTTTTTCTAAACATATTCTACAATTATCATTCTCACATTCGGTTGGGAGGTACTGACCAAAAAGAAGTATATTAATGAAGTATACTGTAGTATATAAAATATAGTAAGTGAAGTATAGTAATGAAGAATATTTTTGTGATATACCGATGACAATAATCAGGTAAAGTGAATGGACCTTGAAGTTGCTGTATTGTAACTGTATTGTTATGTGTTTTAAAAAAGTTTACTGCCTTTTAAAAATGTATTTGAAAATATTTACTTTATGTTAATTTAACATGTAAAATAATCATAGCGCTAATGCATTTTCCATATATCTTTCTACCTCCTATTCAGTGTCTCAAGTTTAGCAGAAGTTGATTTTTATAATAACATTCTTGCATTCTTCCACCCAAATTGTAGTAGTGAACTGTATGAACCCTTTGCATAGCCCTGTGTGACGAATGTGGTGACGGTCACTGGCTTTCAAAGTTGGAGTTGTTCTGCTGACTGTGCATATTCAGCATTGACAGCCTCACAGTCGCAGTTAGCGTGGATGAAGCAGGGCCCTAACTCTCACAACAAAACTCACGACCAAACCAGTGGAGTCTCATTATATTTTAGAAAGTTTATACAGCCAATCCCTATAGTAAGTGATGAATAGTTTTCTCTGTCTACCTGAGAGGCCAGACTGCAATAGAATAAGTTTGTAATAGGTACAATTTTCAGCAGAAATGTCTGGCACAACTATTTTTGTTCATAATGCAGCAAGAGAAAACAAGCAAATACAGATTCAAATATGGGATACTGACAAATACTGTTGGAATTTCTATCTCATTTGAAGTAGGGATGCACAGATCAAGCCTTTTCAGTTCTGATTCCGATACGGTGTCCAGAAATATCTGCCCATACCCATTATCAACCAATACCAGAACAGAGACCTTTAAACTCAAATAAAATAAGACCAAACTGATCCAAATGTGTTATGTACCTGTTTTCTATGACATAATAATATTTTCACAATAAGCATCTCATGATATGATATTTATTGCAATATTTTGTGGAGGCTAACACAAATATAATTATGCATTTTTTTTTCCTTTTAAAATGCTTTGCCAAGTCTTTGCTTCTGTCATAATCCAAAGAATTAGATTTAAGAAGAAGATTTAAAAGTGTGTAACATATTTTCTTTCTGTAATCTGCACTGAAATGGAGCAAAGAGTCATAGTCATGTAGTTTTTTTTTTAGCTATTGCTGCACCATAACAAAGAATTGAAGCAAAAACACTTTTGACGATACAATATCACAACATTTTTGGTTAATTGTTACATCCTCAGTTTCTGTTATTTATCCCTTGAGTACAGAGCAACTTTGTATAAATAAAAGTTCAAACATTATGACATTTTCTGGGACAACTATGATCAATAAATAAATAATAATATTTTTTTTTTTATGTGCAACCAGAATATCCACTGAACCAAATTTTTTCAGGTTCAGTGCTGATATTTGATACCAGTATCTCAGTCAGTGCATCTCTAATTTCAAACCTAAAACTCGCTTAATGTCTTTGGACTTTAAACATATGCTTGTTTGGTATATCGCAGAACACACAGATTATTTGTTTATTTTGGGCTAAATGTTTTATTGTCTCCCATAAGTTTTATATGGACCTGGGTGAGGTCAAAGAGTTGTTCTATAAAGTTGCAATAACTGTTATACAGTGCCATTAACAGATACAATATCTTTATAGATTACAATCAAGTGTGTACTTTTATAATGTTCTAATTTTACAATTTTATTACTGTACAGATAACATTTATAGCATTTTTAGACACA